TACGGAACTACTCAAAAGCGGTCAATTAATATCTAAGATTAGAAAAGAAGTAACAATTTCTTTGGACTTTGATATGGTTCTAAATATTATCTGTCGCAAATGCAATCTCACACTTGTGGAACAGATTAATGACACTGCATCATTATATGGACACTCTTTGAAGGGACATCATGTGTGCCTTTTGTTAAAATACAATGTAAGTTAAATCATATATTTATTTCTATTTTTTCTCTGTGGTGTAAAATGAATTAGTGACCATATGTAAAAACAATAAGAATGGTCATATTAAAAACATAAATATTAATTAATATAATGTGAGACAATCTATCTTTTTAATTTTATATATTTTAAGATTAGCAGTGTCAAAGATCCTTTTATATTACAGAGAACAACAGGAAATTTAATAATCGAAGGTAAAGGTGACAATAATTCATTACTATCGGGAATTGGCGAGGAGATATCGAGGATCCTGACATAATATTGATTTAAACTCACAAGTGTCTATTTTGCAATTATTAATTCATACCATACATTAATTATATACATTTGTGGCAGCGAGAGGAACGCTTGGGGACTGTATACATAAAATACAGACATATAGCGGTTATATATATATATATATATATATATATATATATATATACATATATATATAGCACATACTTTGCAAACTCATTAAATATTTTCAGAAAGAATCTTATCTAAACTTTAAGTGTAATCTAGATCATAGTTTGTTAAATATTTAAGAGATATACATATGTATACATGCATACTATATATACATGTAATTTCGCTTCACACGTATAGACATGTACATGTACATGTCTATACGTGTGAAGCGAAATTTTGAAAGGAACAAGAGAGAAGAATAGCTTATTGTCAAGAATTGAAGACACTGAAATAAAGGTAGCTAAATGTTTCTAAATAAACTTTAAATCAATGATACTGATCTCTATGTATGCTCAGAGTTACAAAGATTTAAATCATATTAAAAAAAATTAACTTCATATATTTATTGTTATATAGCTATATATACTAACATTTTCCAAAAACTTCTAGTAAATTTTCTTATTTTTATTTTAAAATGTTGAATTAATTATATATAATAATTTGATATGTTTAGAATCAATTGTGCAATTCTTTGAATAACTTGTGCATTTCTTTGTTCTAAAATAAACGTTATGATAGAAACAATTGATCTTACTTTTATGTTCAATGCCTTCAATTTTTGTGTCCAATCGGAATAATATAATATATCGCTATATATATATATATATTGTTGATATCTTTATTATTTTGTAAAATATATAAAATATTATATCTCTACTGTGCGATATTGTTTCGCCCGATCTTTAAAAGGAGATATAACGGGCATAGGTGGTGAGCATTGTATTTGCATGCAACGCTTCCATAATATCGATAATTAATAAGCTAACAAACTGTGTAAATTTAAAAAATTAAACAAATCGTAAATCATTTATATATAGGCACGTAAAAACTACACATGTATAATTGTGCGGAAGAATATGCTCTCATATTTTCTTTTTTTTTGCAAGGCACTTCAATTGTGCATCAAATTTTATATCCCTATTCCTTTCTTTTAATATCTTCCTCTGTATCTTTTCTTAAAATGTAAAGATTTTTATATATTTGAGAATATGAATTCTCTAGAGTCTAGGTATTAAACGTGTGCCAAAAATCATTAAAGATATCAATGCCCATATAATCCTTTAATTCCTAAAATGATATTGATACTCATACAATTGACGATTATTAAACATTCCAATTAAATAATTCTTCTCTATAGATATAAAGCAAATAATATATATATATCATATAAACCGAACAAAATATTTTTAATTTTGTAATAAGCTTTATATATATATGCGCGCATTTTGCTATTTTAAAGGAATAATGAACATGCATGACATATATTCGACTATGAATTGTACTGAACAGCGCGTTTTACTATTTTAGAAAGATAGTGAATATGTATACACATATATGATACACATATTCTATTATGAATTGTATAAACAGCGTGTTTAAAACAAAAAATTATTTTATTAATTATATGTATATCTCCTTCTCTTTTTAAGCTTGCAAGTACTTGAACAACTATTGTAATTTTGATATATTGGGTTCTAACTAAGAGTTATAAACTGATTTGTAAAAGTTTATTATTCAGAAACACACATATATATATACATATATAGATAGATAGATAGATAGATATAGATATCAAATTTAGTAAAAATGAATATTTATTCTAAACTCTTTTTGCATGTAACAAATAGAAAAAATTTATATATATATATATATATATATATATATATATATATATATATGAAATATATGAGATTTTTACATTTGAAGTCATAATATCCTTATATAAATTTTTGTTTTAAGCGATTACATATACGTCAAATCATTGTATGTTTATTTATATACATCTAGATCGAATAGAGATAATTGTTTCGAAATACATGCCGCATCCCAATGAGTGATGTGCGATTCTTAATTTATGCAACGCGCGCATATATATACATATATATATTTAATACTTTCATGTGCAATACACGTCTGGAAGGTGAACCGCGGATACTAAGGACGAGCATGATTCAATCAAATTCATCGACCTTAGGCTACTCCTACACGAGAAATTCATGGTCGTGTTGCTGTCATATGTCTTTAGACGAAGAGTCATCATTTTTTAAATATCAAGTACATTTCGTTTCATTGATGACAAAGTGTTTTGCTTCCTCCAGAAATATTGTTTTTCTCGTCTTCCGTTAATATACATGAGAAAGTAATTATTTGATTTTAATATGTCTGCGTAAACACTTCGTGGAACGCTTTGTAATGTTAATCGATTCTTGTGTTTTCAGAAATGAAGACAACATAAGGAGGCGGTTTAACATAATCATGCACAGCCTCTGTGACGTCTATGCTCTACTTATGAAAAACGTGGAAGAGGAACGCGGCTGTCCTAATTGGTACTTTTCCACGTACATGGAGATTTACAATTATTAATTATACAAAAGTTTCCACTATAATTTCATTTTTGTTTGCTCTTTTGCGCTCTTTATATATCATATCATAAAATATATTTCGTCATACATTTTGGAATGTTTGCGCGCACGTATTGCAACGTGAAATATAACGCTAAGATAAATCAAAGTATCAACCTTCAAATAAAGATTATCTTTTCAACGAATAAATTCTTCTCGATTAGTTTATCAATGAAAATATAAATAATACTTTTGAAGGAAAGAAAGAATACGCGTGCATTCTGCTTTCTCTTTTCTTTTCAAAATACTTGCGCAATCAAAAAAAAACGCAGAAGGAAAAAGTTAAAAATATTTATTATTACACTCTAGTCACGTTTCGGTCAGTAGTCAGACGAGCATGTGCGTTTCTTCAAAATTTGATATTTTGTTTCTAAAATCAAGCTGTGTCAAAATAATTTATCGTAGATTTCAATCTAAATTTTTTTATTACTTCTATAAATGCTTTATTAAAAAAAAGAATAAGAAAGAGAATTTTTCGAAAAAAAAGAATAAAAAGAGCTAATATGTAATGTTGAATTTATTGAACATAATATAATATTCACATATAATAAATCGTGCAATGCAAAATCACAGAATTTACAGTAAAAACAATTTTATCAAAAAACTATTTCAATAATTTTATCAAAACAGTAAAAACAATTTTATCAAAACAGTAAAAACAATTTTATCAAAAATACATAAGAAAAAACTTGACCGATATTTATTTTCTTTGCTATCTGTGAAACGATGTTAGTATTCGAAAGATAAAAATTGCGACCATATCAATACTTAGAAACGAAAACCATCGTCATTTTGTAAAAATTTATTATCATTCTGGCGCGAAAGAAGAAAATGTTTGCAATGAGTAATACTCGTTATTAAAATATGTTTATCTCTGAAATATTACACATTTCAAATTTTATCGATATGTTAATTTTTAATATTTATCATATATTTAGTTGTTTCTATACAATATATTTCTCACACTTTTATCTTACTTGCAAATTATTTAGAAATATACAACAAAAAATAATATCGTTTAAAGAAATGAATGCCATATTATGAATGCTAATTCATAATTATGCATCTTGGCATGGCAGCCATCACAAATGTCTTATTTACGTTAACGAGAAGTGAGAAGTTCTTAAAATATTATATAACTCGGATAATATTTAAAAGGGAACGCAAATTAAACTAATTAATTATTAATTTACAAAACGTATGCATATGACACATCCATAAAAATTGTAAGTCGTTGGTTAAATCTTATAATTTTTATCGTAATATTAAATGTTTGAAAGATCACATTTGATTCGATAATTAGAAGATAATAAATAATCGTTTTTTTATTCAATATCTTTAAATAATCTAAGATAATCTTTATATCATAAATATTTTTCAAGTCCTTGAAATTTATTTAAACAATTCAAAAGCAAACGGAAAGATTAATGAATGCTCACACATATATACAATATTTAGTATGTCATCAAGATATCTTTGTTTTTTTATATTTACCAATTTTCTCATATAAATATCTTTATATCTATTATATAGTAAATTCTATTATATTGTATTTTAATAGCTTTCTCCCTTTGCTCTTAAAAAATTGAACAGTAGAAAAATGCTATTTTAATGTGTTATACAATTAAATTAATTAACCGCATTCCAAAATGGATTATTTACATATTTACTCGTTCTTGTTTCTACACTCGCGAGCGCTTATAAGGACTGATCTCGTGCATGTAAATAAATATAAGCCAAATATTCGCGTAGTACAATCGAGTGACTCGGTGACTTGAACGCTCGCTTTCCATTGCCATGCGGATTTGAAAAATGTTAATCATGATCCAGGATTTACTACGCCGTAAGGTGTCCACGTGCTTATCTTGAACTCGTGGAATCCATCAATCAACCGGTCGGCTGAATGACCGCGGTTCTTCTCGAGATGGTACACGTAAAGAAACGATACCGCGAGCACGAATCGCACACATGTGCTCTTTCGCCGCGCGTGCTATATAAATAATACTTCGCGCTAAGTCAGATCAGTCGACTTGCGGCGGCCGTACCTGTCACAAACTACGAAATGCAACGGACCTTTAGAGATTAAATCTCCTCGCGATCGTTCGATTTTCAGTTCATCCACATATTTCCCTTTCTATCTCTTTCTCTTTTTCTCAGTTTCCCGTCAACCCTCTCAACTCCTATTCAACTCGCATCTTCATTATTTATCATATGCGAGTTCACCCCTCGGCGAGAGCTTAACTACTTGTATATTGTGTTCCATCTCCTCCAGAATGTCGCATGACAATCTAGGATTTACATCGAGCACGGTGAGTAAAATTTATAAATAAATTAAATATACCTGTCAAGTCACGTTAGAGAGACGGTTTTTTAAACGTAAAATGTACAAGTATATATATTTAATACGAACATAGAAAATGAAATCGGAAGAAAATATATATATATATATATATATATGATTTAAACTGATTTTCAATTGATTGAAAATGATTTATGATTTTCCTGATTTTTCCTGGACTTTACTGATTTGCGACGCATTCGTCTTTATTTGTGTTATCATGTCAATCGTTATCCTCGAAATCATTTCACGCAACATATATGAGAGAGAAAGAGGGAGAAAGAGAGCGTCTTTTCACGCACAATATAAAATCGTAAACATATTTCTTTTCTCTTTTGAAGAAACAGTAGGAAGTACATATGGAACCTTTGAAAAGGACTTGACTAATATTGAAAAAATGCGATTTTGAAGAATATCTAATTTTTCTAAAAAAAGTTTTTTGTTGATATCACAGGAAGATGCAGAAAAAGAACATTTCTTCATTGTAATGATGAAAAATAAGTTTTTCAAAATAAAGCGCGTTTACTGTTTTGTTTATGTATTAAGATCATCGCATTCCTACACATTTTCTTGCGAGAAAGACGTATGTAACGTACAAAAATAGCGTTTAGAATTTTTGAACAAAAATTATATCTAATTTTATAATATGCCAATTTTTATAAAATATAAAAGAGACATTTGACAACAAGACAGTAAAACTATACAAACATACATTATGTATGACATTAGATGTAAGATAAGATTTATGTAAGGTGCGTTTACTGCTTTGTTTATGTCGAGTCTTCAAACATCATTGTATTCTTATATTTTCTTATGAGAGAAAAAAATGTGTAACGTACAAAAATAGCTTAAAATTTTTACAAAAATTGTTTCCAGATAATTTTAGTTAATTAGTTAAGATAATTAGGACAAAAAACAAGACTTTAACAATTCTCTTAAGCAAAATTAATATCAATAACGCAATTGCGCATGACGTTAGACGTAAAGCAAACTTATATGAGCCAAAAACTATACTTTTTAGATTATTTTTATGTATAATGTCTTTTCTTTTTGTTAAAAACTTAACATTATAATTACACGATGACGTATTGACGTCATAACGTTAAAATGTTTTTCAAAATATATACTATCTATGTAAAACTACTTAGATATGCATAAAATGTAAGATAATATAGTAGATATGCAACATATATGAAAAATATACTTGCAAGCGTACTTCGGTAGAATTTTTAACAGAATGCAAATAAAATTTTTTGCATTTTTGCTTTAACGATGTTACTTGACAAGTTTCATGTTATTATAAATTCAAACTATTATAAATTCAAACTATTACTAACGTACGCAATAATAAGAAATTAAAATATTAAGAAAATAAAATATTAGATTTCGGAAATCTGAATCTTGCAAAGTCGCAAAAAGATTTTATCTTTAATTTTTTTCGCAATTAGTTTGAGATTTAAATTTAAAATTATTAAAATAAGGCACTTAAGAAATACACGATAGAGATACTCGAAATGCTTTGCATACCTATGACACAATTGCAGTAAAAAATAATCACCTTTAAATTCATTCGTCCGTAGAACGACTATCTTTTTTAACAGCATTGAACGATTATACAGCGGACAGGACAATAATAAACCTAGCTAGCTATTGCGCACTTGATATTTTCGACAGCTCGGATGATTGCGTGATACTTCGATCATGAGCTTCGGTCATGAGAGTGGAAAGTTTGCATCAATATATATATATATATATTTGCGCGAACGAACTCTCGCGCGTCGAAGGACAATCGTTCATTCGCTCGATCTTTCCTCTTAATGCGCGTCGCGTTGACACCGGCATTTCTTGCTCGTTTATACTCTTATAATAATCGGTGGTTAAAACTGTTGCACAATAAGGAAATATGTTAGTAAATAGTCGAACTGGTCTATTGAGTCCAACAACTAGCTTTTACGCGAAATGTCCTTCCCACGCGACTGACTCTTTCCAATCGCGCCTGCCTTTTCTTTTCCTCTCTTTCTTAATCCTTCGCTTTTTCGTCGTCGAAGGCGACCAGGCTATGTACAACGCTTGTCCTTTAAGCGTGCGCGATTATTCGAAAGTAATTCGAATTGTTATACGAGGTGCGCTTTCTGCCTTTCCCCTTGTATACAATTATAGACTTTTCAACGACCTTGGGCACGCATGTCGAGTCGATCTTTATATCTCGAGGAAAGTTTAATTACGAAAAATGTTTAATAGATCCAACGCATGTTAAATAATTTCGACAAATTAAATTAATTTTATTCCAGAAAAAATTCACCTAAAATTTTACAGAAGTTTAGATTTAACTAAGTACTTAATATTAATCGAAATAAAATGCAAATAAGTAATAATATATGCATACTATCTGTGATGCTATAGTTGTATAAATCGGATCCATAGTTACATCATAATTTTATTGATGATCTCTTTTATTCTAGAACGGAAACGCTGCACCCATCGTATCTTGATTGAATATTGAATGTCGCAATAGCTTCCTCTGTTATCTTTTCATTTGCCTATCTTTGGTTGAAAAGTGGCATTTAATTTAATCCTTTTTATTATTGGCGCGAAAGCTTGTAGGACATTTAAATACATTCTAATGTATTTTCTCATATGTTGCTGTTGAATTTCTCTGTAACATATGTCCTGAGCATTACGAGGTTTTAATTTCTTTGTTTATTTATTTACTTTTATTTATATTTTATTTATTTCGACGAGAGTTAATATACGTGTATCACGAATTATTTCTTTTCCTCTCGTAATAAAATTAATGATTGATTAATGACGTTCAATAAAATATAATTATGAGATTCATAGCGATTCGATACACCAGTTTTTGCAAGTTATTCTGATAACAATTTCGTACGAATTTTATTTCGGATTACAACGCTACTTGAAAATGTTCCGCACCTTGATAAGGACGGCTTAATGTACATATCTGTCAACAAACAAGTATACATGTTTCGCGAGATGAATCTTTCTCTTTGCAAATATGCTTTTACGTATAAACGATTTTTGAATTATACTGTGTAGCATGGTTGTAATCCATATGGAATTATAATGAATATGTAACACTCAGACACATACATTCACACGCGCGCAACGCACACATATATGACATCGCAGAAAATAAAAAAGATTGTAACCGCATACACTTACTAAGTCGGCCTAAGGCAACCTGAAACTCTGGCATGAAGAATACCGGTTTTATCTCGATTGAGATACAGCTTGTGTAATAGATACATAGTCAATCACGGTGTGCGCACGTAACGAGTCTCTTTATCCAGCAATCGATTACTATTCCATACTATATGAAATATATATGCACAGGTATACATGTATAAAATATTCTAAAGAGAAAGAAAATGTACATATATATATATTTAAATGATGGATTTTTTTTGTTGTAGCAATATTTCCTAACAAATTTGTATCGTTAAAGAAAGTTTAGTATATTATCAAATTAAATCGTCAACACAAAATTATTTGAATGTTATGGAAAATGGAAATTTAAACTTTGCGCAACCGAAAAAAAAGAAAAAAATTTCATCTTTGATTTAACATAAGTTTAATCGAAATTTTATATATAGATGTATATTTATATTTTATTTATTATCTATTATTATCTATTATTATATTTTATTTAGTATCTATTTATTTATTTATTTATTTATTACATGCATGTAATAAATAAATAAATAATAAAAATTAGAATAAATAGATAATATAACTAAATAGATAACAAATAAATAAATAAATAGATAATAACAATTAAAAATCAATGTTGCTAAAATACGCGTATATGCGTTTGTGTAACACTTGTCTTCACGGCTCTTTTACTTTCTAGTACACAAGTCGCCGCACATGTGTGATTCATTATGCCTGCGGAAAAGCGGAAATGCACGTGGTACGGTCGACGCATAATGTCAAGAACGACTCGCGGGCGGAAAAAAGAATGTGCGATACATGAAGTCGGAACACGCTTTGTCGCGGAACTACCTCTTAGAAGCGGCGGTATATTCTTTGATATTCCCTCTTAATGTGATTCGATACCCATGCAAAATGATTGCGAACCGATCCATGGTCACTTCCGCGTGTCCTTCCTTTTCTTATTGTCTTTTCATTCGATAATGCGCGTGGGACGAAAATCCGCGAAAAATATAAAGTCCGCGATACGTTTAAAATTGCTAATATTCTTCGAGACCTTCGAGTAACGGTATCGAAACTATTTTTTATTTCAGGAAAGATGATAACATTATGTCGAAAAAGAATGTGTTTTCAAGCGATTTCGGCGAATTCAATTAGAGCGTACATGATGATAGTCATATCGGAATATGAATTGTTTTTTACTTTTAATGTATCGAACATAACGTTTTACACAATATCATTTATCGAAAGTGCGATTAGGAGAAAAACGAGAGGTATTCTGTTGAATTCACGCGAACGCGTGAAAAGTCACGTCGAAACTTAGAATTTCATGAAATGATATAAATTTGAACAATTATCTACAAATTAAATTAATTAAATCAGATTAATTATGAATTTAAATAAATTGAATTAATTATGAATTTTCGATGATTCACAGATTTAAAATTGAAATTGATTTATTTATCTGATGAATTCGGCTATTTATTTTTCAATCTTTTTTTGAATTGCAATTATAAGATTTATTTATAAAAACTCTAATCATAATAGTAGGTAAATGTATAACTTTTGTAATATATAATTTATAATACAATTAGACAATTTATAATATAATTTTGAATTATATAGTAATTTCATGTATATATAATATATACGTATATATAGAAAATTTATTTCTTATGCAATAATGTAAAAAAATATATAAGTATAGAATATATAACAAAACTTGAAATATTTCGAAAAATTCAAAAAAATGAATGAAAAATTAGTACAACGTGTCTGAAATATTTTTATAATAAAAGAATATGTACTGGGGTGTTTTTTAAAAAAACCTTTATACTTTTGATCGAATAATGACTTAAGTTTACATCAAGAATCTGATAAATAGAAGCTTAAATTTTGTTGACCAAAAAAACAGATATTAAAGGATTAGAGAAGCATTTGAGTTTATAAAGTATTATTCTTTCCAAATTGATAAACACGTTGATAAAAATTTTCTGTAATATGTGAGATTTTAGATAAAAAAATATTATCAAAGCAATTCTCTTTTTATATGATAATAAAGATTGTCAATATTTAAAATATAATATTATATTATATTAATTACATTTTTTAAAAATATTATATTACAATAATTATATTTTCTCAAATACAATTAATGCATATTTAATTATTTTTAATTGTTTTTAGTATGAACATTTGCAATTTTGAATTAGCAATTTGATTTAATATAATTTAATTTGAATACTTGCAGAAACCATAGCAAGATTAAAAGAAAAGATCATAAGAAATGTATTCAAAAATTTCCAAAAAATTATGATTAAAATACTTTCATTTAGATATACAATAAAATTGTGAATGTGTGTGTGTGTGTGTGTGTGTGTTGGAATTTCGTTTTTAAAGATTTGCAATGCATAAAAATTTTGTTTATAAAAAAGTTTTGTAACGAAAAGAATATGTATACCTTATAATGGATCTTTTTAATATTCTAATACTCTATATTTCGAATAATGTAGAATTGCGAATAAAAAATGTACTAAATATGAATAGACGAATTTGCTTCATATTAATTATGACATGTTATCGTTCAATCTTTTTCAAAATTTATTTATATTATCAATATAAAAGCCTCATTATCAATTAAGCCATAATCATTTTAACCTTAGTAGCAATCGTTGATATTTATTATTCTCAGTATTCTTTGTCAGCATTTAAAAAGTCGTCGATTTATTGATATATAATATTCGAATTGAATTCGATACAATGCACAGATCAATTTTACGATTGTCGCGATTACGGGGTACTTACAGACATGTATTGAAATGTATGCGGTTATAATGATTTCGTTATACAAAAAAAAATATCCGATGTGTTTTGCAATTTCATCTGTCGTGATTGGAACAATTAGCAGAGTAGAGCATCTATTTATCATAGAATTTTTCTATTATATATAAATCCTGTAATATTCCAATCATTTTCTTTCATTCCTAATCTCATCTATCTGATATCAGAAAACTAATAATTAATTGTAGATATTGAAACAACCTGGAATTAAGATTTCTAAGAACCCCAGATTTCTAAGTATAATACAAAAGATACGAAAATCCGTAAATCTTATGTGATATCGCAAATAAGCAGCTTTTACAAAAATGTTGACAAAAGAAATTCCGTTTCCTGAGAAGATAGAAAATGGCTCATCTGTCTGTTTAACAATATTTACGATGTATTCCGTTTCATAAATTTATGTTCACACAAAAAAAAACTCATAATTCATCATTATAATCGTATGTGAGACGCATTCGCGCGACATGTATAATGTGACATATGTATAATATACGTATACATGTGTAATGTGACAATTGTATAATAAACGTATACAAGACCAAAGGAAAACACGATAAATGAGAAGTGTTAATAATCTTATTTAAATGATTTATCTACCGTTAATTGGCACGTGTAATAGACGTTTCGATATTCTTACGAGACGACGAGACAAGAAAACAAGCACTTCGAACGGTTGCGTGTTTGCTAAGAGTTTAGATCTTTCTTGGCAATCACATTGGTAACATAAATATGTTACAAGATAATAATATTTTTTCTTTTCCACAACTTGATATATTATTAGCATAACAATTAAATATTAATTCTTCAGTACATAAGTAAATTGAGTCGAATTTAATTTCTTTATGAGAAAATATTTATATTATGAAAAAAAGAAACAGACGTGAAATATACAAATTTAAGGATATACTTGAAATATATAATTTATATTAATGTATATACATTGTTGTACTTGTATAAATATTAACAAAAAAAATCGCGAGATACATTCTTATAAACGTAATATTGAAAAATAAAAAAACGAGATTATTACACACACATGGAAAAGAGAGACATTAAGTTATGATGCGTCATTATTGATTGATGTATTTGGATATAATGGAAACTTTTTTGTTAACATCTCTATGTGTTTACGCTAGATAATCTACATTTTTCCGTTTGATTATTAAAGCACCACTCGAAACTACTCGAGGGAATCTTCCATCATATTTTCGCTATCGCATAAATGTTATGTCGTTAACGACGCATTTCATTACTTTTGTGGGCGTAGTCTTTTCGCTCTGAAGGACGTATTAAATGATCGCATCCGCGCATTATGCAATTTGTGGATTTTACACATTTCCGAGAAAATTTCCCGTACTTGTTGCATTTAAAGTCTTAACTGCATGTAAAGGAGTTGTATCAATCACTTGAGAGGAATTATGCAAATGTTGCTGGCAATTTACACAATTTATGCTTCAAGATAGTCGCAAAAAGATAGTTTGAACTTATTTAGTTAGACCAAAAATTGCTTCAAGATCGCAAAAAGATAGTCATGAACTTATGTAGTTAGACCAAGAATTGACCAAGTAAATTCATTGACGATCAAATTTACAAATATAATATTTATACACACGAAAATTATATCTCTAGTTAGTCGTGTACAGAACGTATTAACGCATTCCGCAGATATCGTTGAAGAGGAAAATTTATTGCGACAGAAATAGAATAGCGTGTAACAATCATGTATTAATATTAGACAATTGAGTATGCGCGCAATCGATTGAATTATACGAACGGAAAAATTCTAATAAAACTTTCTATTAAAATTAATGTCTAGCTGAAATATTATGAGTAATTAAGGAAGACAAGGAGATAACAAATGTATATTTCCTAAAAATTATGTTTATTTCCAAGCAATTAATACGTATAATATACATCATTAGTTTATTGATTATTTTCAAAATTTTATATTTATATTTATGATTAGAGAGAGTTTGTAAACTTCTCGACTTTGTGTACACAATTTAAAAGTTCATCGTTGAAGAACTCGCGAATTATTTCAAGCTCGATGCATATCGTATAGATTATCATGAAAACAGTAAAAAAAAAACACTAAAAAATCGACCCTCTTTTTGAATTATTCTCGTATGTATAAATGGATAAACTCCAAAGTTCATAAATTTTAGCATCATCACATATATTATAAATTATATTCTGCATATTATATATTGGATAACAAAATTACGTAAAAATATGTACATGTTTCTATCTATCTCTCTCTCTGTTTATTTTTAAATTATATATAAATGTTTATATAATGTATATATAAATGTTTTCATAAACTTGTAATTTTTTAATAAATATAGAATAAAATATGAGATGGTAGTTCATGATTATTCCAAACAATATATATATTTGTTAACTATCAATAATTATGAATATATATAATAAAAAGATTAGAATATATATATTAAATAAATATATATATATATATATATATATATATATATATACATTAAAAAGATTTAAATAAATATTGTAATTTGATAAAGAAAAAAAGAAAGAAATCTACGTCTATATATACAGTTAAAATATTGTGTACTGATGTAAATAATATTCTTTGCGATAAATTATTTATATCTATGTATATTTAGTACTACTATATGAGTTTTCATTATTTATTTTTTCTTTTGTATAGGTTGCTTTGCAGGATTTTAGAAAATCTTCGTCATCTAAGGGACACCAAAATGGGTGAGTATCGTAAATTCTATGAAAATGAAGAGCATGGTTCTATTTATTGTTCACATGTACTATAATCTTTTGCTTTTAATTTTAATAAAAAATGTTAACATTATAATTTAAAATCAGTATAAAAAAATATCGTTACATTTTTATTATATTGCGTGTGATATTCTATTTATTATTATTATTATTATTATTATTATTATTATTATTATTATTATTATGTCTCAACAAGTATGACTTATAAACACATGTCTATTTAAACTTTAGATTTTGTATGAAGCTAGTTTTTTTACAGTTATGGATCGAGTGAGAAAAATGATAGTGTTTACACTCTGGAACTGGAAGAAAAGAGGAATATAGATGAGCAGGACGATTATGACCCATACGATTATAGGGAAGTGGAGCATCCAACTACGTGAGTTCTCTCAAATATATTATTAATTTTTATTTTATATAAATAATAATATCTCAGATAGTGGAAAATTTTTGTGCTACACGTATGTATAAGTAAATATAATTATAATTAATGGAAAAATAGAATCATACCATTCGTATTTAAAAATGATAGACGATTTGAGAAAAATTTATATTGTATATATTGTATATAAATAGTTTCGGAATCATTGTTTTGACGTCTTATTGAAATTATCCAATCAGTACTTATCAAGAAGAATTCGATCTATTGATTTCAATCAAAGTGAAAAACAGTATAATGTGTAATTCCAGACCAAGCATGTTTATATAATGAGCAGTACTTTCTTTGCATACGAAATGACATTTGATTATTCCCTGCACGTTTCACGCTAAGCATCTTATTAGCGTAATTTCCTACGTACAATAATCAAATCGAAAGACTCGGTGACTCACCTTCCTGGTGAAATCGCGAAATTCTTGACGTATAATTCTCTGTATCATAATTAAATAAATTATTACAGTTATTACAGGGTAATAATTCTCATTAACTTTGAATTAATTATTTCCCCATTCAACACGCATTCAATATTTACTTTACAAATATTACTTTATCTGTAACATCAATGAGAAGTGCACGTGTAAAATCATGAAAATACACGTGGAGATTACTTCTGTGATAAAAGTATATCATAATTTAATCTAGATTTCATAATTTCGATATAATTACAAATGTGTAGATAAATAAATCTGGTTTCTTAGCAACGTGAATTTTCAGAAATGCGGAAACATTGCTTCACCTGCTAAAAGGTAGCTTAGGCACCGGAATTCTCGCGATGCCAAGAGCTTTCCATAATGCCGGATACGCTATCGGTTTGGTAGCCACGATCATCATAGGACTACTTTGTACATACTGTATGCGAATACTCGTTCTCTCAGAGTACGAATTATGCAAGAGGAGAAGAATACCGTCCTTGACGTATCCGGCAACTGCGGAATCTGCTCTGCTCGAAGGACCGGTGCCCCTCAGGCGGTTTTCTAAAGCTTCTGTGTAAGTGTGCATCTGTATTTCACGCTTCTTCAGTAATTATATTTTATCTAATTTTAAACATCTTTCATATTTCACGGAGAAAAAAAAGAATCATATTTATGTTTTTTGTATATTTCGCGTGTACCGTTACTAATAAAGGTAATTGTGAACAATAGTATTTAAGTTCTTATATTATATTAGTACTTGTAATTAATTTTGTCTTGTGATACTTTTATTAAAATAATGAGGATGTATAATTAAGAGTCATAATAGCAGCTCTTGTGTTTCATGAAAGATTCTTATTTTGTTCACAGACATATAATAAATACCTTCCTGATGATATATCAGATGGGCACTTGTTGCGTCTATATCGTTTTCATATCCAGTAATCTACAGACGGTGAGTGTCCCCACTATACTTACAATACGTAACACGTTACGCTTTCAATATTGACGTCACGGCATTCAATGTTAGACTTTTATCATTGAAATTGTTTGGGCATTACTCATCTAATATGTGATATCTATGCAATGTGAATCCCAGTCATCAGGAAAGTCACGTTTAACCATTAAATGGAATACGTCTTTACTTATTATTTACGTTATTCGCGATACTCGCTATCGATGCGAGACATACTGGGAAAAAGATTCAATTCAAAGATTCTGATTCTAATCAATTGGCACATCTTCTTTTAATATAAAAATTTTTAATGAATTTTAATAAAAAAATTTATAATTTATTAATAATATTATTAGCTTTATCTAATAAATAATTATAATTTTGTAATAATGTTGAGTTATGTAGATTTTATAGCATGTGATTACGTCATAATTCAATCTCGCACATATTAATTCGTATTCATTTACACACTAGCGATAAATCGTTTGTGGTTTTCCCTAAGTGCGCTAACTAAGTCCAATATCGCGTGTTTTTACCAGCGTAGGTAGGTAGAAAATAGAATAATTTAGGTCAGAGAAAAATGCGCCACAAGAATACGCGAGTAGACAGTCACTGTAATTAACGTGCGTGTAGTTGATTCAAAGTGATTGCACTTAATGTAGACCGGCCGTCGACATTTTCGACGATGTTAGGTCAACAGGATCGAAACCAAGAATACAGTTCTTGTCCGAATTTCAAAGACAATTCTTATAAATTTTATCTCTATCAATTAGATAATATTAAAGAAAAGGAAAAAAAAGAAGAAATAAATTTAGTCAATATAAATCTGTTATTGATGCATTTGAATTTTTTTTACTTTCATATAAGATTTATATCGAATAGAATAAAATGATTAATTATATTTTTACAAATTTTTTTGTTAACATAAATCGTTTTATGACTTAACAAATATATAATGCTTAATGCATCGATATGTTTGTTACGTATGCAATAGGCGATTCGAATAAATCCGACACAAAGTTGAAGAAGAGAAACAATTAGGGTTACACGAGATATCAAAACTAATCTTATTATATATTATCTTGTCTTGTCTTGATTCGAGACAAGATCAAGAAAAGATTTTCAATTAGTTATCAAGACAGAGATTATCAGGATTATTAGTTTTGTCATTATCGATTTAAAAAAGATTTAAACTATATTATGTAATGTATACTTGTAAATTAGATAAAAAATTACATTCGCACTTCAAAAATTTTATTTAATAAATAAAAATTTATATTAACAAATTTAAAAACAATTAATACAAAACAAACAACATCAAATTTTACAATTATTTAGCTGCACAAAACTTGTTACAGTACGCAGTTTTCTAATTGTGTGCATATAAGCCGTGTTTGAATTCTATATTACTGTATGTAATTGTCTTTTTATGATGACAATATATACATATATATTTGTGTGTTTCTTAAAAAGTAAACGAATAATATTATACATAAATAGTAATAATCTCATTTTAAATTATATTATAAAGATTATGTTAAATATTTTGTCTTAAACAGTTGTTTAGTATTAGATAAAATGTGTTAATAAAATCGAGACAAGACAATACGACAAGATTTTTGCTACAAAGATTCATTCAAAATTCAGGCAAGAGATTTAAGTTTTCAATACCAATATAATATTTTTATGAATATTGTCTTGTCTTGAGTCTTGTGCGACTCTTAGAAAGAATATTGTTTGTATATAATATCCTATCGTAAGGAAAGAAATATATTTTTTTATTTGAATGGTGTTTATTGCACGTTTTGAAGTTTCTGGCATTAAATGATAAGAGTCGTGTCGCGTCGCGTCGCGTCTTTCGTACAGATTATAGAAATTACAAATGGACATATTTATGTCAATTTTATTTGTTCTATATTTATGTATCCCGGGCCGGATCGTCGTACACGAAGTTGTACACGTGTACAGAATGATTTATTACGAAATTTTACATTATCTCGCTTCTGTATTATACGGTCGCACAAGATTCTGTTGCAACGAGATTCTATGCGTGAAGCGAATAGAATCTTATCAAGAGTAAGGAATCAAATGGGAACCGCTTGTAAAAGTCGGACAAACGTTAACTTAAGTGCCGTTCACATAAGAATCGTATAATATATAAAACGTAAAATATATTTTTAACCTTATCTTTTCGAAATTACATTCAAGTTCCAGCGAGCTAATCATGCGGAACGCATGAATCATTTTAAGAAATAAAATGTCGGTACTTTTATTCAACGAGTCGGACAATGTCAATCGTGGGATAAAAATGCGGAGCAATTCTTTTAAATGAATTCAATCAAGATCGATGAATTTAGATTTGGAGGAATGGTTAATAAAATTATTAGAGACATTTTATTTTATACGAAATATAATCTACGTTAAAAGAAAAGACGCTTGCACTTGCTGCGAAATTTAAATGCACACAACATATATGTTTAATACAATCTTACAATAAGATAATAACTCTAAAAGCCTTATGTGGACGGCTCCTTAACCGTCAACGTTGGAAGGCGTTGCGTAGTACGCAATGTAATAGATAGTTATCTATCATTACGACATACGTGTTATTACAGTAAATAAATAGTATACGTAGAAGTAACGAGTGCGTTCACATAAACCTGACGTAGGAACGAGCGTCTTGACTTCAGGGTCGGATGCGAAGTGAATGGAACCGAAACATATAAAGTTTAATCACCGAAACGACACTTTAAAATAAATATTAAGATATCGTTAAACATTTCTTTTAAATCATTAAACAAATATATATCTATCAAACACTTTCGAGCGTAATAAAAATTTGTATAAAAAAATGAAGAAAATTTGGAAAATATATAAAAAAAAAGAAAAAAAAATGATTAATTACGTGTAATATTATATTAGTGTGTGTGTATAGTTTTTGTGATATAATGTGAATATAATGAACGTTATATAAAAATTTGTAAATAGTTATTAAAATTGTAAATAATGTAAAGAAGATGATATCATCGTTGCATAAGTCTAATCCCTTGTTGCGATTTGAAAAATTCTGAAAAGATGATATTTGGGATTTTTAAGGGCTTTTTTCGAGTAACTATACAAATTTGAAACTATCTATGAAACCTGATTAAGGTAAAAGTCGTTATTCCTAGGGAAGGTAATTAGTTTAGCTATTGCTTACATGCTCATGTGCAGATGCAGTTATATCGTAAATATATGATGAATTATTTCTATCCGGAAGTTTCTCTGGCAAATTATTTATTCTAATACACATGGTAATTTAACGCACTTTACGCAATATCCCAGTGACGGTGATTTACTAGTAAACTAGAGTCTTTAAAGCAGTTATTTAACGTTCCAACTGCTAAAAGATTTCAATCTAAACATGTGATACATATGACACACACAGAGAAAAAGAGAGAAAGAAAATGTTTAAGGTTTTAATATCTTTAGAAAAAAGTTCTATAATTTTTTGAGTATATTTCTTTTGAGATCTTTAGAGGCTTTAAATCTGTACTAGTGTAATATATAAGCTACAATTTTTGTTTAATAATTGCCAAAGAAATAATCATTTTTCAGCTCTTTATTTCTCTATTTTTTGCTGAGATTTTTTATCCGCGGTATTATTATACTAATTATACATAATACTAGCCTTATAGAATATAGCATATATACACATGCAACAAATATAGAAGCAATGATCGTAACCGTTAACGGACCATAACGCTTGTAGTATTTTAATAACCTCGTCATTTATGTGATAAATAACAAAACGTAATGTATTTATAAATCGTAAAAATATTCTTTTTCTACTTTCGTCATATTCATTCGTGTTTACAAAATTTTTTTTTATGAATTATTTTACCATTTAACTGATTTTTATATAATTTCAAAGTTACGAGGGGACACAAAAATATTTTCATTTTTACAGCAATATATCTGTAAATGCAACAGTATAGATTAATTTCAATTGCGAATTACAAGGTGCTACATATGGCGCACAGCCAACTGATTACGTATGATTGATTAGCAAGGAAAGTAATTAATCATTATAAGAACAATATTTGAGCAACAAAAAAATCTCGCCATGATATCTTCATATCGTCGCGATTATCGGGGATGAGACAAGAATTAAAAGCGATATTTTTTTAAACGAAAGTTTTCAAGGTGATTCAGACTTAAGTGATGTTGAAGAAAATTATATTATATCTTCTTATCTTTTTTATCTAATATTAATACATATATACTTTTTTGTAAACAGCAAAAAAGAGAAAAGTTCTCTGAACATGAAGAACATACATATGCCTTTCAATTGAGCGATAATTAATAAGCATAAATATATAGCCGATGACATTCGATCTGCGCACAAATATTTCTTATTTTATATTATAAATGCAATTTTCCTAAATGCAGATTTTTCAAGGGTGCATCTAATTGATAGCATGTTGTCGGTGGCGCGTCATTGTGTCTGTCTTATATAAGACTAGATATCGACAACGATAAACGACAGGCGTTAAACGATGGTAACGCGCCCATTTCCGCCTGTCCTTGAGATCGAAACATAATAATGAGTATGTTAAGTGTGTGAGCTAACGAAGTTGTAAATTGAGATTTAAATTATTTAGATATTTGCAAAACTGCGTGGCATCGATGCACTTTGTTAGTTACAAGTTCTCTTAAAATATTACATAAACTTAGATATATTAATCTCATAACATATTCTTAGGAATTGCAATCTTACATTTTTCAAATCGTTTTAGACAAGAACATTTTAGATGAATATCTTCAAAGGAAATCGTGACAGTATGATATATAAAGTTCATTAACATATGAGATTAATCGTTCCTGGTAATATTTATTTTCGTCTATACAGTGTTTTAATATCCAATATTTTCTTTCCATTTTTTTTAAAAGTATACAAAGAGTGTTTTGTGAGGACATATTATCGTTGCATAAATTAGCAATCTGAGATACAATGACGCACGCACTGTGAAATCTTTTTACTCATGTTCACGTTTATTTGGAATTAATTAAAAATTAGCAATATTTGTTGAGAATTAATTTTATTCGAAACAATTTTTCGTCTTTCTTTTTACGAATGCATCATATAATAATTACATTTTATTTATATCGATAAAATACGATTTGGAAGAACTGAATTGGCGACATTTTATGTGAATGATGTAATATGTTATAATTCACTTTCTCTATTGTCTCTTTATTTATATATTTGTAATATTTATTTAAAACATACATTCTCGAGTCTTTCTTTTTCGGAGAAATAAATTCGTATTCTTAACAATTGTTAATTTTAACAGAATGACATGGAGTTGATCTTTGCGTTACTATTTTTCAATAATTTTTTAACGGTGATTTTTATTAACTTTGCATACGTCACTTAAGTCAACAAAGAAAAACAAAATTAATTTTCAACGAAATTCCGAATGAATGAGAAGATGGGCAAAAAAAATAATGTCATCCGTGCGTCGTTTCAGATGCTACGTGAAATCGAAACACGTAAGTGTCATAAACGGAGATGAACTTTTCTCTGAAAAGTTCTCTGTCGAGGACACGCATAGCGAAGGTGATGAGATCAAGATTACATTGACAAGAAAATGGATGGTATGTATGTGCGTTTCGAGAAATCCCTAGTACACGCGATCTAATTGCGAATTCAATGTCAAACGTAAATACAAGACAGAAGTGCTGATTACGCTTCTCTCGACACATGATTGTCAATGTGATTAGTCGTATTAACGGAATTCAGTAGCGTTGTTGTTCTTTTCATGAGGATTTATTAGAGTATATCGGGAATTCCGTCTTTTTGTTCTATTTTTCTATTTATAGACTCGCGTATGTCAAGGTACTATTTAACGCGTAACAGCATCATGCATTTAATTGATTTCTCATTAGGCTACAAAACTGAGAAACAAACTTCAAACTTGTTAGCGCCTACATTCAAACATAGTGCATCAGAAGCTTGCGTCATTTTTCATCCTAAATAATCTTTATCAAAAGTATTAAAAAAGGTACAAAATTACGTCTATATACAAATACTATTTTTTACATCTTATAATTAATGTACCTTGAAGTCAATCTTATTTATAAAGATATGACTTATAGACAAAACTCCTTCATTATTGTATTTCATTAAGATGAAATCTTCAATGATTTAACCAGATGCCTGAGTGAAACGGTTGTATTAAATTTTTTTTTCACAGATTTGCATCAGAATAATTACATGTTCTCTTCTTTTTTTTAGGCATTAAGCGCATTTATTTCATGGAAGTTGGAGGTATACATGGCGATTGTACTGTTCCCCTTGATCTTGGTTAATTACATCAGGAATCTTAAATTCCTGGCACCATTCTCGACAATCGCGAATATTATCATGTTCGCTGGATTCGCGATCATACTTTATTATATTTTCCGAGAGCCGTTGACGTTCGAGAATCGCGTGACAGTTGGAGAGGTCAAGAACTTTCCGCTCTTCTTCGGCACCGTTCTGTTCGCTCTCGAATCTATCGGCGTAGTAAGTAATCGATCGAAACGCAGTGATGGTCATTTAATATAAAGCAGCGCTTAATTATGAATACAATGATAAATAAAAATATTAAAATATTAAAAATTAAGTTTTTGTATAAATTAAACAATATTAATTAATGTTATTTATATTAATGTTATTAAATATTATTATTATTAATTATTATATTACTAATATTATTATTAATATTATATTATTAATATTATTTATTATTGTTAATAATTAACAATATTATTATAAAAAATACAGTTTCATAACAGGCAATCTTTATAAAATTAGGGAACTATTGATAACGTTTGTCATGTATTGTCATTATTCAAATTTGTCGTAAATAATGTTACAACATTTAAATTTACATTTTACAATATTTAAATATTTTTACAATATTTAATCGAAGAAACCACATACATATTAAGCTCAAATTTATGTACTATTCATAGATTATGCCGCTGGAAAACGAGATGAAAAATCCGAAATCCTTTATGAAACCATTCGGCGTGCTCAACATCGCTATGAGCATTATAGTCACAATGTATGCCACTTTGGGATTCTTTGGGTACATACGCTTTGGTAAAGATATTGACGGTAGTATCACGCTCAATCTACCTACCCAAGAGAATCTGGGAATCGCGGTACAAATCCTTCTCGCCATTGCCATTTTCTTTACGCATCCTATTCAGTGTTATGTCGCCATCGATATATCATGGGAATACATCAGTCCTTATTTTGAGAAGTATCGCTATAAGACGCTTTGGGAATATGTGGTCAGGACTGTCATTATTTTGATTACTTGTGAGTATATTTACTTTTTCGATAAATCGAAGATCGTAGATGATAAAAAATTTTTAACAAATTCCATCTGTTTATTCATCAGCAACATCTTACACTGTTGATTAATTTTGACATTTAGAAATATGAACCTATATATATATTTTTTTTATTTATTTTATTTATTTAAACATTGCCAAAAGAGAAATATTAAATGTCGTTGATAATATTTTAGATTCTCTTATTTAAATTAAAATATTTTTAGTTAATTTGATAATTTTGTTTAATCTCATTACATTCTATATGTATAATATAGTTAAAGTAAATCGAATTAAATCATCTTATTTAAATTAATTAACTTGATATGTGTAACTCCTGCTTCAGTTGCTCTGGCGATCACGATCCCGGAGTTGGATCTTTTTATATCTCTATTCGGTGCATTCTGCCTGTCGGGTTTGGGACTGGCATTTCCGGCCATCATACAATTGTGCGCCTTCTGGAAGGTGATGGGACCTACGGAGAAGAAGATTATGCTGGCGAAAAACATATGTTTGATACTAATCGGCACGTTAGGCCTGATCGTGGGGACTTATACGAGTCTCCGTGACATCATCGCCAAGTTTTCGTGAAGTGTCAGCTCGATGAATTGTGCAATAAAATTGCCAAAAGAAAGGAAGAGAGGTGGGAGGTAGGAGGATAGCGAACAGAAACCGTTCTCGAATGCGAGAAACGAATCAACGATGTGATATGTAGTTTGAAGTCGCTAAAAGTAAGTGTACCTATAAATAGTAGCGCATTTAGAGGCTTCGGGTCGAGAGGGACCGAAATAACGTGTATACGGCTCCGCTGTAACAACACTTCAGTTTCATCGAGGACAGAATGAAGTTCCTGAATGCATGTGTAAGTTTCAATATATGCAAATACTGTGTGCGAATAGACGGATTGTAACGAGACGCGATCGAATCCTCGAAATGTTAGATATTAGCGTCAGTATTAGAGATCAGCGTAAGCTAGAGGTTTTATTGTATTATAAATAAAGTATAATTTTATTTTCATACACAAATCCACCTGCGTCCTCCTTCCCTCCTCTAAACTTCGATTCTGTGTATTTTTCTCCAAAATCATTGATACATTGTGGGCGACTTTTAAATTTAATCATATAGTGATTGTTTTACTTAATTACAGATATAAAATTGTACATATATACATATATATACTCTTGACTGTTTTTTTGTTGAGTTTTAAGATTATAGAAAAAATAGTGTTTATGTATACACGATATTACATTTATCGTACGACGAAAGAATGTTACGTAAGAAAGAATCGATATTCCAGTGATACAAGTCAAACACATTCATCAATGCCATCTCGTGTTGTCTTTATTTCACATAGATTCGTCTCCAGACTATCAATATTGATTATATACAAATGAATATCATATTATTGTATGCTTAAAACACACGTAGCGAAGTATTTTCTTCTTCTTGAGCCGGCAAAATATTTAGTTATGAGTTGTTATATTGCATGCCACAGATAATTGCGTAGATACTTTTTCTCATGAATTATTTTTATAATTATTTGTTCATATTTAGGAGTAGAGAACATTTTTAATGAAATATCATCAGACATATTTATTATATATGCTCTCTTATTTTATTTCGCTTGTGACAGTGATGACACGGTCATAATAATGAATGGAAAATAATTGATAAATCTTTATAGAAGCTAAAATATTTTTTTTCTGAAATATTAACTATTTGTTCTCAATAAAATTAAATATTTTATTTATGAAAATAGAATTTATTAGGGCAAAATAAGAGAGAAAAAGAGTGAGATTTGTTTTAACTTTTTGAAAAGCTTGTACATTTCCAGAATTTGTTATATGCATATATTTATTAAAACAGAAAAGAATTTTGTTATATTTTAATGTTTATTTTTCTCTGTTTTTTAAACAATTATATTATTTTATCTTTATAGACTTATTATGCTACTTTCACCTTATCAATATACAACCTACTTTGATCAGTCAGTAGAACCGAACAAACACTCCATGCGCAAGTCTGGTGAACTGCTTATACTACCTGCTACCAGATGTCCCTGGAAATTACTATGGTATGGATCGCGAAAAGGGTAGTTACCCCCCGCGTGACCCAAAGAGAATCCGTTAATTTTCACAGACAGAAAGGCATCGAAAGACCGCCACAACCAGTACATTTTCTCGTTGCACATACACCTAACCAAATGCGTGGTCAAGGGGTTGATGCGGGGGGTAGAACACCCATACATACATATACACACACGAGTTAGCGCATCGCGTCCTTCATCCCTCAATCGTAGCTTATCATATGCGTTATAACCTGTGATAAAGTGCCTCGAACGGATTTCGCTCATACCTGATAAGCTCGAACGTAAGTTTCAAAGGGTTATAATCGTTAATTAATGCACCGTTTCATTCGTAAAATAGATCTAGCATGTGTTTAGATTTAGCAGTTGACCGCAACTAATAATAATAATGCTACTTGCGGTCGTAATCATTCTAGACCACAAGTTTCTCAATCTTTCGGTGTAATATCTACGCAATATTTTCTCTTATGAAGATATTCAAAATTTCGCATATTATAAACGTTAAAATATATTCACAATTTTTTCTTATAGGAATTTTTAAAATAATGATATGCTTTCTCATATATTTTGAGAAACAAGGAGATTTGTGAGAATATATTTGATATAATGTGCTATAATATACTTCTAAAATAATGAAAAGAGAAAATATTTTTTATATTAAAGTCATATATATCCTCTAAAAAATTGTTATCAATTTGTTATATTGTTCAGTATCAATTTATAGTATATTGTTAATCTGTCGTAGTTTCATAGTCTACCAAAGCCGCTAAAAATCATTGTGTCAAGAAAAATAAAATTATATAAATTCGATTTTTAATTATATCACTTATGTAAGTTTTAAAGTTTATTATCATTTATGAAATCATTATAATAAATTAAATTTTAAGTTGAAACATGAGAGTTGAATTTTACAGACCTTATAGAACATTTTATTAGATACGAGGAAAGAATAATCCTTGGATTATCGATCAAAAACGCCATGGAAAAATGCAGCGACAACGATACGTTTGACTTACGTAATCTCGTCGACGTCAATCTGACGCGAATCTTAAGAGAGTTCTAACGTAAGTTTATTACGCGAAATTTATTTTCAAGTTTAAGCCATTGAATTGCTAGACAAAATCTTATAGTAGCAACAGACAACTTTTAATCGCTGGCATTTAAAATTTGAAGAGAATTTAGCCAATTCAAAATATATTTCATGAGAGATTAAAACTAGATTTTGTATTAAAAGATAAGTTTCCTGAGAATTCAGTGAAAAATCAATTTCTGTTTATTCATGTATTTTATAAAACAAACGTCAGAGATTCGATATACATATATGTAACATTATTAATTATAATAAGTTTCATAAATAATTTGTAGAGTCTCTTTTTTTTAAAGAAATATAAATCATATATTTAATTAAAATAATAATAAATAACGATAATTAGTAAATAATAATAATAATTAGTAAATGATAATAATTAATAAATAATAATTAGGGAAAGCATTTAAATTCAATCGATATGCTTGTGTACTACTATACTCATGTAAATTATATTTTATTATGTATCTTCTTCGACATATATACTTTATTGATTATGCTTCACCTAATCTGTCAGCATCGTCAATAAATGACACTCCTCTGACTCTAATTTTAGCGGCCAAATTCTTCGCTATTATTTGAAGCGAAACTTCCTCGCGGCTTTTCCACAGATTAACCAATAGATACAGATTACATAAATATCTTGAAGGTCGAAAATTTTACTCTTCCGTCGCGAAATACTTATGTAATGCGAAAAGTTTCGAGCTCTCGTAAAAATAAATGTTGATACTTTCATAAAAATATTGATTTAAGCCTAGATATTAATTAGTCACTTATTGTCTCGTGTGAATGATATAACTGAAGTCGTCAAAACATTGATTTTATCTCGGTGAGTAAAATAATGGTAACAGAGAGAATTGAAAGATAATGAACTTGTGTCACAACATTTGTCATTAGTCTCTGTATATATGTAAAATACTATGCAAGAGAAGTGATATATATATATTTCGATAAAAACAATTGTTATAAAAATTTTTCAAAATGTACTAAATTTTAAAATTATTATGTAATAAACAAAGATCTCAAAATACGAGAAATGAGTTACTAATTATACATAATATTCAGTTATATATTCGCATAGAGAGTATACTTCCTCGCGCCAATCACTATTATTTACGTGCTTTAATGTAGCACGTGCACTGATCGCATGAATCTTCGCATCTCGTGCGTATCACCAACACATAAACATATATTGTACTGCTCACGTATTTGGATTAATTAATTAATTTATATTTTTTATTGTGGGAACGCATAATATTAATATTATTTTTTATATTAAATATCTTATATCAAAGAGAGTATTTTTGAAACATATCATGGGATATTAATATTTTATGTTATGTGTTATGTAAGAGCATTATATTTTTTATAGAGATTTTTTATTAAATTAAGAATTTTATTAAATTAAGAATGTGGTTAATTAATCTTCAAGCAATTCTTATAAAAAGAACAATTACTGCCGAATGAGATTTAAACTTTGTTTAAGACTTTGCTCGTATAACACTTTAAATTGCACCAAATTAATCGATGATTCGTATTTTTTCGAATCCTTTCGTACGGATCTATGATGCAAAGTACACAGCGCGAGATTGACTTACGGTGGCTAAATCATTGCTCGCGTGCATTTATGAGAAGTCGTTTTAACTAGCCGTGTATCACGTGACGAGTTGCTATATGTTGCTACCGAATGCGTATACCACAGTGGAAATTGAAATGGTGCGGGACAGTCGCTAGACATCCTCAGTCGCTGACGCACTAACTGCCAACTACTAGGTAGTTAGCCTCCTCGGCTTACAGAGAATCGGCTTTACATCCGCCGAGGGTTGCCGTCGCGTTTACGGATGCATTTAATTCGGTAAGTTGAGTTCCAACGCGCGCACCAGAAACAAGCACAAAATTTATGTCCGAAACAAACGGCGAATATAAATTATTTTGACAGTGATACATCATTTTCAAAAGATGTGAATTTTATCCCTTTTTATTCTATTTTCTCATGTTGCTATAACATCGTCATAATTGATACATTTTTTCAACCCTAATTATATATTCGTTAATCATAACTATATATTCAATATCGATCTGCATTATTAACAATGTATCTAACGATTAACTATTATATCACCGATGATGACAGATTTTCTTTCAATGTCGTTCAAATGATTGCCAAACGTCATTATTCAAACTAGTTAATTCAATATTTTTTATATATAATTTGTACGATTTATTAAATTTTATATTATATTGTGATGAATCATAGAATTTTATATAAAAGTATTGTGAATATGTGATATATTATCATCTTTTCGAAATATCGCATAACTATATTGATGATGCTAAAATCAAGATTTTATTATATAAGCACATGTATGATATACTGGACGCATCATATTTATACTGATATTAATATAGATTTGCTTAGAATGTTATTCATTTAATCATGTCGTGTAATGTAATTCATTACGTCTATTAATTTCTTCGTATATTAATTTATGCGCAATATAAGATAACAAATATAATTGATTTAAATATAAGATTGTATGAAACAAAATCCATACACATACATAGTAACGTTTACACTTAAGAATGTTCAAAATCTAAAAAAAATGAAATAAAAATATATTAATTTATTTTAGTATACAATTTATAATTCTCACAAGTAAAAATTTTTTGTAAAAAAAAATAAAGAAGATAATTTTACCCGCATAAAGAAATATAGTTTGTGTGTACGGGAACAAAAATATATCTCGATTTATGAAATTTATTTAATGTTCAAATTTATTTAATGTTCACCAGTTTTTATTAATTATCGTGCAACGGTTTGAATATTGCATGAATTAACCATATTTATAAAATTAAATTGTATTAATAAAATAATGATAAGAACAATTGCCAAATATCTTTGGAAGCTGTTACACCTGTCAGAACGAGTCAGAGCAAATATTTATTCCAAAGCTCTTTAATTAAATAAATCCTTATATTATAAACGATTAAGTGACCATTATTAAGATCGATGAGGGAACTATTACTTAATAAACTAGCATTTAATCATTTATTCGATTCAATTGATATTGAGGATCCTTCAATAGCAGTAATAAATTTTCCAATTGTGTAACAAAAACTTTCTCATTGTTTATCCTCTGTATCGCTATCGCATTATGTATAGTTTGTACTTTATTTTGACAAAAATAATTTTAAAATGTATTTTATTTAATTAATTTTATTTTATTTTATCATTAAATTAAATTTTTCATAATTAAAATTTATAAGAAAATTTTATAAGATTTGGTTTCTTAAATCAACATTAATTTTAACATATTTTAACTTGTGATCAAGAAAAATATATTAATATTACTAAATCTGTATTGTATAATATTGATATTAATAAATCTAAGAAATAACGAAAAATAAAATAATCCGTTTTAATTGCTATTTAATTGCTATTGAACTATTCTCTCGCATTTTCGAACGAACAATTTTAACAATTAATTTAATCGTCTGCATTTAAAAAGTGCATATTTCTTAATTTCTTTTCCATTCCAATTTACATCGGATAAATTTAACAATGCGCCTCAACGCAGAACTCAATAGATTGAACGAAATGAATGGAAGAGTACTGACTGCAATGCTTTCAATGCAGTTGTATGAAGCTGTATTCTAATATGTATTATTTTAAGTTAAGCTATCAGCTTTGTGAAAACTACACATGCATTTTGTCTCGTAAAGATTAATTTTTAAATATTTTCTTTCAATTTATTTTTTGTATTTTTTTATTTCGAAAAATATAACTAAAAATATATCATAATATTCGTATAATTTATCATATAATTTATCTCCTTATGAAATGTTATTTATAGCAGAAGAACACAATGTTACTTTATGTATTGACTTGACTTTTATTTGCCATACTTTATAAATTTGCGATTTGTTACATATTATTTATTGCAAAAGAGATATAAATTTATTATTGAATTTTACAATTTGTTCGACTTGCACTAGCTTATGCATTTTATGAACATTTAAAAGTTCTTGTAAAAGGATCTAAACAACAATGATTACTTATTTATTTATTAACGTAATTTACTTATTTACTTATGAATATATAATGACACGATGTAAAAGTACTTGTAAATACATTTTCTTCTTTAATTATAGCGTTGCAGACTCGTTTATATCCGCGTCACTGTTTCTCACGTTCTCTTCTGAAATACCTGTCAAGATAATTCCCGTTGGCAAAGAGAACCCTTTCGATGCTCTCTCTAAAATTAGTACATCGGGCATATTCCAGCCACATTATCCCAAGCATGAAGCTACATAACTCGTCAGGTCCCCCCGATGTGCGTCGAGGAAGTAAGAATTAGGAGGATCGATTACAATACTTAAACCCTATTTTTCTCCCCTCTTCCCCCGCTTTTATATATTCAATACGCGCTTGAACGAATATTCATTCACGCTAACAAATTATATAATATGTACGTTTTCTATAATTAATTACTAACATAACATTATTAATATAACATTTGGATAATTGTGTATGTGTGTGTTAATAATCGCGATATATCTGTATTTTTTTTTCAAAATGTTTGACGGAATAATCATTAGGGTTAATAGAATTGCATTATACTAACGCGAATTTTTGTTTGGTTTTCGTTGTAGGCATAAACTGCAAACGGAGGAAATTACAACCTATGCCAGCGGCTGAAATATTAAAAGTTGATTAGGACTATAACAGGTGAGTCCTATAATTTCACAGAATCCATTAAAGAATTTGCAACTAAATGCAAATAAATTTTGAAATAAAAGATAGTAGATTTGATGATATTTAGGTAAAAACTTGACGGACAATAATAAATATTGATGAGAAATTATATGAAATATATCCAAGATAAATCTATAGACATAAACATTATAATAATACAGAGTGTAAATGAATACCTGTTACAAACTTCTAGGGCATATAGAGGATTCAAAGTAGACTAACTTTTAATAAGAAACTCATGTCCGGAAACGCACCGTTTGCGAACTGCAGACTGGAACTGTTAGTATGTTCAGTATTAGGAATAATTCTCATAATAACTTTGTTTGCTTACGTCACACTACAAAAATGTCCATACAGAGGGCTACAATAATTGTTTGTAATGACGACCACCAACTTCGTTGCTAGTATTGCACCTGCGAAGCATATTCTGGCAAAGCACACTCTATTAAAAATGTTAGACATCATTTGGATTTGCGCTGCGGCCAGAATGCGTAACACGTAAGAAATCCAAATGATGCCTAACATTTTTGAAAGAGTGTACCAGAACGTGCTTTGCAGGTGCAATGCATCGAAGTTGGTGGTCGTAATTATGAGCAATTATTGTAATCATCTGTTTTGACATTCCTAAATATTTTTGTAGTATAATGTAAGCAAATAAAGTTATTATGAGAATTATTCCTAATATACTGAACATACTAACAGTTCCAGTCTGCAGCTCGCAAACAGTGCATTTCCGGACATGAGTTCCTTATTAAAAGTTGGTCTACTTTGAACTCTCTACATACCCTAGAAATATGTAACAGGTATTCATTTACATCCTGTATATACGCAAATATATTTTTTATTATATATTTTTTATTTTATTTACGTACAGAATTGATAAAGTACACATTTCGATAAATTACATCTACTTGAATTTTATTCAAATTACATTCGTTATTGTAGCTACAACATTCAACGGTGTAATTTGTCTTATCATGAATAGAACACACTGTCTTGAAGCAATCTGTGCCAATTAGATAATATTTCCTTTTTCCTGGATATTTCTATCGCGGCCGTGACATTAGAACAGAAACGCTTCCTCGTAAAATTAGATGTTTGTGTTCTTATATTATTCAGCTATTATTGAACATGTTTGAACATGTTTATAAATGCAGTGCATAGCGTTACTTTATATAGTCTAATTAATTATCAAGTAATATTAAAAAGCAATATTAAATAATCAAACACATGTATATTTATACATTAAAATTTTATTCTAGAATAATCTCTGTGATAATTAATTTAAACGCATCTATTTTTTAGACGTATCTATTTTTAAATATCAAAAAATATATATCGTTGTATACGCTGCTAAAAACGGGTGTGTATTTTAAGAGAATAGACTTTGTCCCCTCGCGGCGCGAGATCAATCGTTTGGTTCAACAATGTGAAATAGTCAAAGGCGTAAATAGCGAAGTGCGAGGATATCAAGTGCAACCTTCAGTAAATTAACCTCAAGTTGCATTTGACCTCAATGCAATAATTAAGAACAATCACATCGTAAAGAATGCGTTAAACTCGCGTATAACAGATTCGCAATTGACATTTTTGTTTTATTCCATTGCTCTACATCCGTCAATTGATTAAAGGTTTAATGTACCAGACTGTCCCATTGACGTGAATCAATTCTCACATCTTTAATAAGTACATGTATTCTTTAATAAGTACAGCTATCTAAGTACGATGTGTCGATTGCAATTTTTATTATTTTACATATAATTATTTTTTTTTTTATTATCTAACGAATTTCTAACAAAATATCGGAACCAATGGTTCGAAGTCAATGGGAAAATCACACGCATATGTTATTGTGAGAGAGTAAAACAAAAATAAAAAACATAATAATATAACATAACATAAGTAATACTTGGATTAATACAGTCCGTTATAGGTTCTCATATCTTCTACTTCGTATATTATTTTAACTTAAACATTGTGTCGCACAATAATTACACAAAATTAATGTTTACTCGTTTACATATCATTGCAATGTGAATGTATTAGCGTGATTAATTGAAGAAGAACGGATATAAATATTTTTACAGAACAAAAATATTGTATGAGGAAATTTGTATGAAAATGGCGGACAAGCAGCTAGAAAATGTACGTTTGGAGCTGATCGTCTCCAATGAAAACGCCCATAGGTACGACTCCATTAAATAATATATTGAATATGTATCGAAAAACTTAAATTTTTATGATTAAGTTATTTTTGATTAAAAATTTTTATTAAAAAAGATCTTTTTAACTTGAAGAAGATTGAAATTTTAATTTCTTAATTTTAACAACACCTTTGGTTACAGTGAAAATTTGATATTATCTATTATCTCTCTCTCTCTCTCTCTCTCTCTCTCTCTCTCTCTCTATATATATATATATATATATATATATATATATATATATATATATATATGTATGTATTATTCGGTATTCGTAATGATGTGAAATGTCAATATGATATGTAAAAACTTATACACAGGAATGACAAGGAAATTGTTACAACTATCATTGAAACCACATCATCTCCAAACGTTGAAAATGATACCGAAGCCATAGCACCTCCAAATTCTCCAGATATCACAGATGCAGAGAATTATGACCCCCATCAACATCGGAATGTACCAAATCCCACTACGTGAGTGCAAATTATAATTAATCACTTATATTTAAAGATAATATTATTTTTAAAAACACGTAACAATACATTGTCTCTTGTGAAATTCAATGTCATTTCCGCTATGTTGCTTATTCTTCTCACAAATTACAAGAGCAAAATATAATTAAGATGTCAAACTACGAATATTGAAGAAGATCATTCTCCCTTTTAGCGCATTCTTTAAAATTTAATCAAGGAGAAAAAATTATATTTAAAATTTATTAACAAAAATGAGAGAGTGTAATATCGAAAAATCTTCTATAACTTCTGGCTTTTGTTTCGCATCACCAGAAATTTTCTTTTGTTTCAGAAATTTTGAAACCTTGGTTCACTTGCTGAAAGGAAGTCTCGGTACGGGAATTCTAGCGATGCCAAACGCATTTTGTAATAGCGGTCTTCTGGTCGGTGTCATAGCTACGATAATCATAGGAGTGTTGTGTACCTACTGCTTACACGTACTCATAAAGGCGCAGTACAAATTGTGTAAACGGTTAAGAGTTCCTATATTGAGCTACCCATATAGTATGAAGTACGCCCTTGAGCAAGGTCCTCGATTCATGAGATGGTTCGCGCCGTATGCACCGTAAGTACCTTCTGCTTGCTCTACAACAAGTCGACACAACATGGTACCATGTAGATGAAATAGTTGTACGCGATTATATCTTATTTTTTTATTCTAATTTTTCTTCATAAAAAATAATAAATAAGCAGAAAATAATAACGTGTATAAAACACTTGATCTCTTTATCGCGATGTGCGAGCAGACAAAATAAATAATGTTTCCTTTAAAATAATTGCAGATAATTTACATAAAATATATATTATTATAATTTATTATAATTAGCAGCCATTTAAATTGATTTAGCTTATATTATTATGCCTGTATTTCTCTTTTGAATAAAGAATTATTATCGATTAATTAAAATATTAAGGACATAATTGTTATATATATATTTTTTTTTACTTTTAAAATACATATATTAAATGCGTTGTTCTGCCACTACATTTATATATAAATTTAAAAAATTGATTAATTGCGACACAAAAAAGAGAAATATATGATTAATTTCAATCGGTTTTATATTAAAAAGACATGCACGAGTTCGCAGCTATAAATTGTAATAAGAATGATCTTAAAAAAGTGCTATTATTTCCAGAGGATTCATAGATGTGTTTATGGTAACATACCAATTGGGAATTTGCTGCGTTTATATTGTATTTGTAGCACGAAATATACAAGAGGTAAATAAATAAAAGAATTGCAATAAAAGAAATCGAGATTTAATATTCTGTGATACACGCTATCAAAAAAACACCTGTCGCAAACAATTAAGTACAATTAAATACAATTTTATAATAAAATCACTATCGGAGGTTGTAGTAGTGCATTCAATTCTAATTTTTCCTGATGGACACAGGTGACAGATTACTACTGGAGACCTTTGGATATTTCGATCCATATGCTTATTTTGTTGGTTCCGCTGATATTGATCAACTACATTAGAAATCTGAAGTTATTGGCACCATTTTCCACGCTAGCGAATCTTATTACGCTCGTCGGACTCGGCATGGTTCTATCGTACATGTTTGATGATCTACCATCGATGAGCGAAAGGGATATGTTTGGTACATTAAGAAACTTTTCCCTCTATTTTGGAACGACGTTATTTGCATTAGAAGCCGTCGGTGTGGTAAGTATCTGGAGGAAGATATTTTTCTTAGACAGTGTTGTCAATCTCATCTTTCATCGAGGAATTTTTTATATACGTACAAGAGACTGAAATTGACATATGAATATGCAAAAGCATCAGTAAATGTTATCACGTACAATTATTTATAATCGCTGTCCCGAAATATTTTTGAAGTTAAATTTTTTTTGTGTCCTAATTTGAATCTTATTTTTTAATCATTATTTCTAAAAAAAAGTATTAAAGTGTGATATTAAAATTTAAAATTTCAAACATATTACTGGCCATTTTGAGATACTTTCTATGCAAGAAAAAACAAGGGAAAAATTCGACTTATTTATTTGTATCATCATTATTACGATTTATTCAAAATAAACAATGTATATTATTGTTGCATAGATTATAGCCTTGGAGAACAATATGAAGACTCCACAAAATTTCGGCGGCTATTTTGGCGTATTAAATATAGGAATGACTGTGATCGTTATTTTATATATAATCATTGGATTTTTTGGCTACGTGAAGTATGGATCCGAAGCGAAGGGGAGTGTCACCTTTAATCTACCACAGGAAGAAATGTAAGTGAAACAAAACAATCATATTTTAATATCAAGATGACGGAAATATTATAATATTATATTATTTTATTTTTACTCTTGCTGTAAAGTATCGTTGACTCCATTTTCTACAATATTCTTCCGTATGAGAAAATATCTATTTGATAAAAACTTGTCGAATATATATTAATTAAATCTAATTTAGAATGAAAGAAGCTATGTTATTTTTTATTATATTATAAAGGAATTATATTTTTCATCTGTGTATTTTTCTTATATTTTTTATTTGCAGTATGTCTCAAAGTATTAAGATCATGTTCGCGATTGCCATATTCATAACGTATGCCTTACAAGCTTACGTGCCTGTTGAAATTATATGGAATACCTATCTGAACCCTCGAATAAAGAATCGCAAAATTTTATGGGAGTACGTTTGTCGGACCGGTGTTACATTGGCGACATGTAAGTAACATCTAAATGTCTAAGGTTGGTACATACAAAATATTTCAAAAATTAATAAAAAAAAAATACTGAAAAAAGTACTAAATTTCCGTAAGAGAAACAATTTTTCCGCGATATATAACACTACAAATATATTAGTAAGAAAATAAAAAAATTAATAAAAATAATAAAAAAAGTAGATACGTCTCAAACATTGCACTTTGAAAGATTTCCGAATAATATTCTTTTTTCAACTTTAAAACATATCTTTATTTTCTTTTTTAGTCGTCTTGGCGATTGCTATACCCAGACTCGGCTTATTCATTTCCCTCTTCGGCGCACTCTGTCTGTCCGCCCTTGGCATCGCCTTCCCGGCGATTATCGATATATGCGTACTATGGCCGGAGAAGAACTTCGGTTTTCTCAAAGCCTTGCTAATCAAGAACATATTCCTGATTGTGTTCGGATTACTGGGTCTCGTAGTCGGAACCTATATCAGTATTGTAGACATAGTGAAATCGTTTCTGTGAATAATATCAAGTACACCCGCGAAATTTGCCAAGATATAGAAATGCATGCAAGATGCGGCTTATGACTTGAATAATTGAAAATGGTTGTGGACGATGATCAAACGTGTGACGAGCAATTGAGAGGTGCTTTCAAGCTCCATCACCGCCATAAGTTTACTTAGATTTAAACGTTAAATGAAAGAAGAAGAGAGGATAGCGTTATAGTTGATCGATAAAGACCGCCGAAATCTCGACATCAACCTCCGATCGTATCTAATCTAATCAGATGATTCTGATCTGTGATGAAAACTCTTCTAAAGCATCGACGATGTAATCTTCGCGCGTTGTAGAAAGTTTTATCACCCATTTTAGAAAGGTGCATTTTTTATGCATTCGACTGCATCGTATACAGTAATATATATATATATATATATATATATATATATATATATGTACATATATATATTATATGTACATATATATATTATATGTACAAACAATTTATTATAATATATATGTCGTTATGAATATCCGAATATATCGAATAGGTGAATGCACGATGAATTTCTTTTGACAATTATTCAAGACGATTATTCGTTTAAACTTCTCATCTCAGTACTTACGAGTACTTAGGAACACTAATACAGCTGGCATATTTTTTCCACTTCTTTTTAGATGTCGCAACAAAAAGTCGATATTGTAATATAAATTTTAACATATACTGAAAATTTGTAGATGAAAATAATTTGTGCTTAAACACTAATAATAAATAACACTAATAATAAATAATAAAAGTAGAAATTATCAAGCTATTATTGATATTTAATAAGGAGAATAGAACAAGCTTTAACTGAAGTGAGATGCTTTATTTCTCTTGCAAAAGTAGTTACTAAAAATATACACTGCGTAAAATTTTATTAATAATATAACGATTGTTGATTAATAATAAACGATAATATAGCGATTGTGTTATTGCGACATCTTTATCGTGAGAAATGTCTCATTGTCAGTGTTACATTGTTGACAGAAATTTATTCTAATTTCGTAAAATTTTTCTATATTCTACCATAATTTCCTCCTATTTTATCTTTGAATTTTAAATCTTCTGAGTCTTAAATTCTAAGAAAGAAAAACAATTTTTTAACATCGACATTGTTTTGATAAAACAATGTTCGAACAATTGAAAATGAAAGTAATATACGTAAAAAATAAGTCATATACATATATGCATCATATATATATCATATATATATATATATATATATGTATATATATATATATATATATATATATATATATATATACATATATGCATATACGTTCCATTTTCTATCATCAAAAGTATTTTCTGGAAATGCATGTCGCAGGGTAAATAAAAGTATATTTCTGAAATATATAAGCGTAAAGAGAATCTATCTATATACAATTATTGAAAGAATTTTAAACTGTATTTATAATAAAGATAAGACTTTATAATTTTTTATGAACATCTATATGTATATATATTAAAATTTCTTCAGACAAGATATAATCAGAAAATAATATCAGGTAATAATTAAAAGTTTCTATAATATACATATAACGTAAACTGTGAATATTCCGTGATATGTTAGCTTAATTTTCTCTACATAATTTTATTCGATGAATATTCGCGCGATTATTTTTATATATTTTACAAATATCATACAAGATATTTGAGATATTAATTTATTATAATATATATTATATCTTTACTTTGGCACTATAGAAACATTATTTAATATGTCAATCAACATAATCTTAGACTGAAAAAAATACACTAATGTAGTGACAAATGCAAAGCATTTTTCTGACTGCAAAAGCAATATCATAACTCGAAAATATATTCCGAAAATCACAAGATATTATTGTTGACTATTAGTAATTATTGCTAATATATTATATTATTGTTAATGAGGAATAATATCAAATTATTCCTATCTAAGCAAATTTTAAATTAGTTTTATAAGCGATGAGAAGTATAAAATCCTGTTACTAGAAATATTTATAATGGAGATATGTCATAAAATGACAATGGTTAATTATTAATTTTTATGCATGACGCGAATTAATGTTATTCATGTAATCAATAAATATGTTGCCTCGCTCCGATAGTTGTTATAATAATAGCGTAATACCAAATAGATTGAGTGAAAATGTTTGCAAAAAGCCTATTGTTAGAAGTAAAACGTTTAGATGCAATAATGATTATTGTACCGATAGCGATGCAAGCTGTAGATTAGTAACGATCTCACGAAACAAATATAATGTACATCAAACATTTAAATATATCGTTTTATACATGAAAGATAGAATGCAATTTGTATAATTTAAAATATATGTTTTTAGATATTTTTTTAGAGAAATTATATTTTATATATGGTATAATTTTTCTTTAATTTCTGAATCATATTAATAGTCAATGACAGATCAGAATTAGAATTTTATATTTAGAAAGGGAGAGAAAGAGAATCTCAGAGCAAATCATAATTTAAATGTATGATTTTTTGAGTGAAAACAAAAAACATACATTGTATATAATAATAAATCCTATATATATATAGTATGTCTTTCTCACAAATGCGCATTTTTTTAAAATATATTTTTACGCGATTATATATAATAATATATATATAGCTATTTCTTTCATCGAGCGCATTATATAACACTTTGAATCATCGAAAACTGAAAAAATTATATATATTAATTAATTAGTTGATTAATTAATTAAGATGAATATAATAAAGTTAAACGCGTTAATGATAAATAAATCAAATAAATAAATCTGCAGTAAGAAAAGAGAAATGAAAAAATCGTTTTCACAAGATCACTTATAATTGACAGAATAAATTTATACCCCAATTAATTTATTAAATAAAAATCTTAAACTATTTTCTTTATTTATAAATATGCATATATAGAGGTGGCAATTGTAAAAATTAATATTCATTATAAATATTTGTTTTGATTTATTGTAGTTTTCTTTATAAGCATTTCTTTCGCGTTAGTTTTCTTATTTTCAATTTTATTATTTTTTTTTAACCTAACCCTCCTTTTCAGCCCTGAAAGAAGAAAGGAAAAATATTTTATTACGATGATTTTCTTCTACAGTCAAAATTATTAAGAATGCATGAAAATTTTCTGAAAAAAAAACACATTGCAATTCAATATCAATTTGTTGTCTCTTGCTACGCAATGCAAAACAGGATGAGAAAAGAGTTTTATAATAATATTCTTCGTAGTGTATTTATGAATATCTATTTATTACACACAGAGGAATAAATACAGATTTTCATTCTTCGACAATGAAGAAAAGCAAACATTTCGAAGAGAATTTTTTGATGTTGCGTCAACACACATCACGAAATTTTTAAAGAAATTTAGAAATATTTTGCATATCAAGTAGAAAAATAAAATGTACAAGATGTTGACTAGAAATGGATTAATGACAAGTCGCGTGGATAACGAAAAATATCTATTTTTATCTCGTCGCGATCACCTGGATACAGGAATGAAATGCAATGTCGACTCCTTCGTTGACGCAACAAAGCCGATTGACACGACACGCGAGGGAGAGATACAGAAAAGGGAGGATGGGGACGATGAGGAGGGCGAAATAAGCGACGCGAGATCGAGGAAAGGAAAATTTGGATTACGCGTGATCACCACTGAAATAACTACTCTGCATCATGAACAGTTTGTCGATCGGATTGTGAATAGCCGCGTGCAGGCTTTGCGACAGCGACGGGGTGTCGTGCGATGATGAGCCGTGATGGGAATGCGAAGCACCCTGGTGACTGCCGTCCGCACCGCCTCCGTCGTTTTCGCCGATGTCAAAGCCGCCGTCTGTCCCATCTAGAGACAAGTCGCTGCTGCAGAAGCTCTCCCCCGAATGCCCTGGATATGCGTCTGGAAGAAACAAAACGTGTTTTATTTATTTTTTTCTTTTTTTTTTGCGAAACACTATGCGATTCGGAAGATATCGAATGAAACGTATATTCGCAACAATGGGAAAATTTCTTTGAAATTTTTATACGCAAACGTACAGTACAAAATTACATAGTGTATATATAGAATAGAATATATTTTTGCAATAATTAATCATTCTTTATATATAATTTTGTTTTAGAAATGTCTTTTTTTTTAATAAATATTTTATAATTAATATAATTGACTGAATGTGAATATATAATATTATTAAAATGATTTCTTTTATATTCAATTTTAAGAAGGAAAGAAAGATATTTGCAAAAACTTTTTTTAACATTAATTTTTTACATATTTTGCATATTTTGCTGGAGTAGAAAAATAAGATAAGCTTTCTTTTATTTGTGCTATCAAGTGACAGAGTAATATGATCGCAATTGTAAAAAATGCTAAAAATTCAGATCCGAAATATTCGAAAAAATATCATGGCTCTCTGTGCTCTATAGAAGCTAAATAAATATTTGCTTCGAACCCGCGTGGGCGCGTGACGTGTGCAGGATGTTTTGAAAAAAAAATGTATAGCGTAGCTCCTATCTTTGATATGAAAAAAAGTGGTTGGAGTAAACATAAATTTTGTCTCTCAAAAACTTTTTATGAAAGTGTTTTTGAAATTTTTATATGTGTGAGCCACAGTTGTTACAACATTTTAATATTCAACGTTAAAAATTTTATTTAAATCTTTGAATCTTTCAATATATATATGTGGGAGAGAGTAATATAAAAATAAGCCTTAAAATATGCGAAATAATCGGTGAGATTGTATGAAAGTAAAATTAAATACATGCTATGCACTTTTTCTATTAAATCTCTTCTGTCGAAAAGATAATTAATCGTCTTATCGAATATAAAATTTTTGTATTATTTTAATTGTATTATTGTTAATTTGTATTATTTTAAAATTTTGTATTATTTTAACCTCTCAATAATAAAATTTATCGATTTTATTAAAAGAGAATCAAATTTGTGAAAAAGCTGTAATCTAGAGTATTCGCACGATACGGAAATATATACTTTGCATAAACGCCTGTCAGGATGCAAACGCATTACGCACATACCGTCTCTCTCTATGACATTAGACGCAAATGAGTTTCTACGGTGAGTAAAGACTTACCGTCGGGCGAGTACGGGTTATTGGGGTTGAGCGGTTGGGTGGCTGAGGGGAAGCTAGAAGATTCCCCATCGCGCATGTTCAGGGCGTTCAAGTAATGACCTGCGAACGAGATTAGACAATTGACATTGAACTCACTCGTTTACCAATGCCCCATTAACCAGTCTTCGCAAATTCGCGAGTCTCCCGACGAGAGTTTCGCGTTACTCTTATGTAATTCTACGCTAATTCGGCACAATTTTTTTTCGTAAATAATAGAAAGCCGATAAGAAACAATCGAGACGGATTGTCAAAATTAAAATTAATGATTTTAAAAATAAGTAGGATTTTATTATTAATAAAATTTTGCATTTTCCAGGATCGACGAGGAATTTCAGGGTCAGGAATTTCTGGAATCGGTCGTGTTGAAAATATATTTGAATTCTCCACGGAATTCTCTCGGAAGCGAGATAGCGTGAAAAATGCTCTTACTGTGATCGCTATGCGGACTTTCCGTCCTTCGCTCCTCTTTCGGTTCTTTGTCGGATCCCGGCTCGGTTTTGGCCTTTCGCTGAAGCTTCTTCATCTTTGCTCGCTGATTCTGGAACCAGACTTGGACCACGCGCACGCTGAGACCAGTATCCTTGGCGAGGGCCTCTCGCACCTTCCTGCAGGGTTTCGGGGACACCTCGAAAGACGCTTTGAATTGACGTCGTTGGGCCGACGTGAGTATCGTCCGCGGCCGTTTTGGACCTCGACGGCCGTCTCGTGGTCGATTCTCGTCCAATAAGTCGTCATCTGACAATATATATGATGCATCTTATATATCTACAAATCATTCACACATGTATAAATGCCTGAATATTCTCTCCTTTATCGCTTTTAGAAAAAAACCAAGTAAAATTTTTCAAATAAATGTAGGAAAAATTTGGAATTATACAGCTACAAGAGATCATTTGCTACATTTTTCATTTTTTAATATCAATATTCTAATAAAAATTACATACATATATATACAAAAATAAATAAAAATAAAATATCACATGCATAACATCATTTTTTGTTTATTATATATTAGCAATTTTTTGATCTTTTGATTTAATACGGAGAGAAAAAAAGGCCAGGAAATCGTCAAACTTTTGCACAACTCCTTGTAAAACATTTAACGACATGCAACGAACAGAAAATGGAAAGAAGCGAGTAAATGACGATTTAGTCTTATCTCTTGCGTGAATTTGTGTTTCGAATAACTGACGGATTGATCGTCTGGCGCAAACGGTAGTGGCTCGAAGTCGAGCAGTAGATACGGGTGGCTTCGATCAGACGGCGATCCGACAAAGCACACAGGCCACGCCTATCGTGCAACATATGTACCGCGGCGCGGCAACATGTCGGCCGCGAACAAACGCACCGACCATACGTGCGGATTCCACCTTCCGCTCGGAATATTTCAACAACTTCGGGAATTCCATTGTTAAAAATTTTGTTACGCTTCGCAGGAGATGAGCGAAATTGTCGATCAAATCATCGAGATGCGCGATCGTCATTAAATCGTCGATTTATTATTAAACGCATGCAATGAACTCTTAAAAACGCAGATTGGAATTGTATGGAATTTTTCATGTAATATAAAAATATATTTTCAGTGTTTTTTTTTACTGCTTTATAAGGGAGGGGAGGAAATTCTTCTCGTGCATTCATTTATAAAAATTCCATTAGAATTCTCTTCAATATTTTTGCGTAATTTGAACGTATGTTGTTTTTTTTTTATTTCTGTGTGATATTTCTTGTATATTTAAATATTTCATTCGCGTCATATGTATAAGGGAGAAAAGGGATATACATATATATGTACATAATAAACGACTCACAAACTGCTCTTTCATCATTTTTTATCGTCACCAATAACACATGAAATATCTCGAAACGCGTACCATAAACTTACATGGAGATATATCGCAATCGATGAATCGTTTTGGAATAAATTCCGCAACTATATATCTCAAGATATTTCATATTTTTCATATTTTTCACGGGGTATATTCTTTGATCTTACGAAAGATTGGCGAATTCAACAATGGCTATTTTACGACGCCGCGAATGTCACGCAATCGCTTTCGATCATTCACGCTTGATTTAAATGTAATTACCTTGAAAAGGAACAGCCCTGTTTCGAAATTCCTGTAGATTTTTACTTTGGATGTCTTTAGATTGTAGTACAACCTGCGAACAATGCAACAAGGTATGTACAATGCGTTTTTCAACGTCATTTTATTTGATTCATTCGATCGTATTTTCAAGCATTCCGCGGCAATGATTCGTGAAATTACTTTGCAGCTAAAAATTCGTGTCATCGCCAATCTCGCCAATCTCAATTCTCAAATTATTTCAATTCTGCTGTGGGAAACGACGCGATAATCGATACTCTCGTTTAACAAGACGATATAAAAGATAGTTGAGCAGTTTGTCATGTATGGAAAACAAGTAGATCCTTTCGGCTCATTCTGTACAAGTAAATTATATATCGTGGTATTTGCTTAACTAAGTTTTTCGCAGGGTCTCATTCAATTTTCGGAAATGATAATGCTTCTACTATTGGCGACAGTGTGATAGAAACAGAAATTGTAGCTCACATAGAAATGGATACACATCGTAAAGTCATCTCATGCAAGATGCATACATTTTTATTCATGCTACTTCTCATATATTTTATACAAGAACGGTGTCTTTTGTGCAAGGAAAACAATGATTATGTTCGTGCATATATATAACACATATATTAAGCTCTTTCAATTTTTCTTCCAATTACAAAACACAAGACTGGAACAACCACTATCTTTTCATTGTATTATTCGATATAATTTATATATATAAAACAAACTGAGATGCAAAAAGACGATTAGAACTCACTTGATTTAATTACCAAAATTTTTTGTATAATTTATTAACTTCAAAAAAGTCTATCATATTTGCTAATCTTGTTTCTTATTTTTGAAAATTCCCAGAAAGAACAAGTTAAAATTAGAAAAAAAATTCTGTACAGAAGCAGAGATAGTGAGATCAAGGCTGATGCTTCATTTCGCGTCGACAGTATACACAAGACTCGAGATGAAGAAACAAGATTTCGATAAACGATTATGCGCAATTTATGCACATACACATACACACATACATACGCACAGTGTGGGACACTCACCTTGCGGACTATTTAGAAATAATTCGTGCTCAAAGTCCCGTCTGCAGATCGGCTGGCCCTGTCGGAGGATATAGTGGGCGCCCCTCGGCAACGGCTGGCCGCACATGCAACACGCGAAGCACTCCACGTGGAACACCAGGCCGGACACCGGCCGCATCACCAGATCCGAGCAGCTGATCTTCTCCATGCAACGCGCGCACTTCACCCCGAAGATCCTCTCGTAATCGGAACGGCAGTAGAGCTTGAGGTCGCGTATGAAGCACGAGTGCGACAGCATCGCGCCGCATACCGTGCACGAGAGGCACTCCTCGTGGTAATTCCTCTCGGCCACCCTCATCACGTACTTGTCGGCGATGGTGCGGCCGCAGCCGGCGCAAATCGTCTCCAGAAGACCGGATTCCGTCTTTACGGAAACGGACGGCTCTGCGAACGACCAAATTATGCGATAACACTGCTAACGACTAGCGTATATCGGCCGTTGTTCGAGTTGAAATTTTGCTTCTACCTCAATTTTCTCGATTTTCTCGAATGATGAGAGAGAAAATTTTTAATTTATATAGAAATTAAATCTCCGGAGTAATCTACCTCAAATAGTAAATGAGCAATTTAAAAGAGGATCTTTCGGTAAAACTATAGGTTTTTATTAGAATTTCAAAAAAGAATGATTCGATCAATATAGATGTTAAATTGAAAATGACTTGTGAAACGTTAGGTAGATATTATATCTGTCCATTTATATAAGATAGTTACGAAATCTAACATTATTTCGTTTTTCATGAGCGATTTTTTGCTTCGCTTTACGATTCATTGCCATCGTCAAGAACGAATAAGTCTTTTTACCTGAAAATACTTTGCATTCTCTTTCATTTGCTTTCATTGTCAAGCTATTGACAAGATTTACGGAATAGTTTTTAAAATAAAAATGTCCTTGATATCACAAACCAATTTCAAACAAAATATGCGAAGCGATACAGTTAATATTGCATATAGATAAATAGTTTTATTTACTTCAAAATAATGTTCGCGTGTTTTTAACATATTGAATATATGATCGAATGCTAAATATGTATAATTAATGCACGAATGCATGATTTTTTCGAAAATTTTTATACTTTAAGTATATATTCTTAGAAAACTGATTTAAAAAAATAATATGCAAAATAATATGCTTATACAAAGAAAATTAAACAATCTTTATGGATCATTTTATATAATATGCAAATTCTCTTATTTTTCGCATAATCGATCGAATATAATTTAAAACTAAATTAATTAAACCGTATGTCCACCTGGAAAATATTAAAACACGAATAAAAAGGTGTGCATTTGAATATGTACGACATAACTATCTCTCTATTTTTCTAGCTGCAGAATAATATATTCGTGTCTCAATTTCAAGAAATATATAGTTACAAACTATTATTTACTATTTTTATTAAATTGAAGTTTTTATTAAAATCTTTTTATTGCACGAGGAAAATTGTTCTTGATAAAATGTCTTACATCCCCGATATGAAATACATATTAGCACTTTTTACGTTTTATTTTATTTTAGCAATAGAAGAATTAAAATAAAAAATAAATTTTATAGATATATATAAAATATATAAATTTTATTTACATATATAACAAAATTTTTTTTTACCTGCGTTATTATTATCGGATGTAGGCCGGAAAGGCATAGGTGGAACCGTCGCCGTCGGCAAAGGCTGACCGGGTTCACTTTGACGATTGAAAGAACCAGGTGCCGGAGGATAGAATTCCAACATGGTGTCTTTTTGTTAGAACCTTGAACACGGAAAAAGAGTCTTCGAGTTGCTAAAAACTCGTTTTAAAAATCCTTTTTAAAAGAGTTTTATTTTGAATGACACTAGACACTTGGGAATCACACATCAATAAGAGTTTTTGAAATGACGATGAAATTTTTTTCAAAACGTCTTCGTCTTTTCTTTTTCTATTTTGAGGCACCTAGTTGTTCTAGGCAAACAATTTCTTCGCAAATTTCAACTCAGACTCTCAAATCCCTTGACAAGCTTCACTTTTGCTTTTATTTCACCGATCGCCGATCTTCTTTCAAAATTGTCTAAGTATTTTAATATCACTCTCCCTTACCAGTAGATTGAATTTTTCTGATTAAATTCACGTTCTTCTGATTGAATTCATTATCAAGAACGATGGCGCATTTCGCGTTAAGTATAGCTATATAGTAATACGACTTCCGACACTTTCCAATAAATTAGTCCAGGTCAAAAGCTATAAATTAGTCCATGTCACTTGTACGCTCAATCGATCTCGTTTGACCGGACATTGAACATTTGTCACTTCGGCCAGAGGCCGAAGAACGATGGAACTTCGGTACGTTTAGCTGTCACTGGTTCTTCGATATGGTCAGCACCGTATGTTATCCAAGTTTCATGACGAGAAGCCGTCACTACCGTGCACAGGTTTAAGATGACGAGCTTCTTGGGCGATCTTCTCGGGGTGCGAGATGTCACAGCTGCACCGCATTCCGGATACAGCGAAAAGGGTGAAGACTGACTCCTGACGCTTCCGAGAACTTCTTTCCTCCCTCCACGTCTTCCTCATCCACCCGCCTGATATCCGCACCGGACGCGTTCTGTACGCGATAGTTTCGTACGTGTCATCCGCGCGAGCTCCGTCGCTTTTTTGATCGGGATCCACCGACTCGCCGACAGCGAGAATCCCCATCCCTCTCTCCCCCAACCCCTTTCTTCATCACCCCGGTATAACGCGGCTTCTCCTACCCCGCCCGTGTCTCGTCCCCGTCATTGGAGATAGATGAGGCATCGATGCGAGAGTGAAGAGGGCGGGTTCATCCCCCGCGCTCTTAGCCGCTCGCAAAACTCACGATGGAGGCTACCGGATTGGCGTCGCCGGGAACCGCCCTTGCCCGAAGGTTGCTAGTGGGGCAAAACGACCACCGAGGGTGCTCAACCAGCGGCGATGTACGAACGGGAGATCAATATCCGACCTCAACCATTGCCGGAAGATTTCAGTGACGTATCTCGGCGAACCGGGCGGACATCGATCTTAGACGCCATCGGGATCTTTGTTCTTTTTTTTCTCTTTTTTTTTTTTAAACAAGCGATCGTGCAAAGTAAATTAAATCCAGTAGGAATTTGGGACGAGTTTGTAGAACGTAAAGGAAAAAAATACATTAAAAGTACAGAACCTAATTAATTTTATATTGCGTGCGAGATAGAGATGCTAATGCTTGGTACTGTAAAAATAATTGTTGTGTTTATAAGAAAAACACAACATCTAGAATTATTTAATAATACATATAATTTATTTTTATTAAAAAATGTTTATTTTTTACGGCAGTATTTTATTTTAAGAGATTAATAAAAGTCTATCTTATATGATTACTTCTAAACGTATAAAAACATATAAAATTAAAAGTAATTTCAAGTGACTTGATTTTTTAGATAATTTGCATAATATAATATTCCTCTCTTCACAATAAAAGCTCTTTACATTACATTAATGATTTTATACATAAACATTATTTTTAATTTCCTACATAATTCACAATAATTACTATGGCATATGGCATACAAGTATATCGAGATAAAATACGAAGAGAAAATATCCAAATATAAAGATATTGAGGTGCCATATTGACATAAAACTACTCGTAGACGTGAGTACCACTCATCCTGACGATGATCTCCGCCGTTTTCCATTTTTGACGAGGAGAGAGGAGAGAAAAGGGGGCACTTCTGTCCTCCCCCCCTCTGAGTGGATACGGCTAATAACCGATGCCGCTTTCGAAGCAAGTTGCCTCCGGACATATTTTTCCGTCGAAAAGTCGGTGCGCACGGCGAGTATTTGGCCGTTTGTCAGTCCGCGTAAATATGCGACAATGCCGTCCTTTGTACGGGCCGTCTATCGGCGATGTTTGCCAAATAAAAGCCTATATAGATCTCTTTGTCTCTGTGTTCCTGCGCTGTGCGCGCGCGGTACGAATCCTCCCCCAAATGATACGCCTAGTTGGGAACGAAACTACGGCATGCCCCTCCGATGCGCGATACAAAGGGGCATCAAGTTGGCGGTAATGGTGATGCAAAGTATTCGGGGGAAACACGTGCAGGCCGAGGGGGGGCGGCCCCCCTCGAGACGCCCAGTTAGTATTCAGACTGGCTTAATCGTACGCGACAGCGACCATACGTCACGATCGATAGATCTTCCAGCCTCACGTTCCGACAATCCTGACGAAGGAGATCACGAAGTCTTATTAAAAAATCAGTGTTATTAACATAATCACTTCTCACAATCTTCTATGTATATATGTAACATATGTATTATCTATTCTTAATGTTGAGTGATCCGATAAATAAGGATATATAATGTATCACAAATTCTGTTAAGGAAATTAAAAAAAATCTTTTTTTTAAATAGAACTGGAATGATTAAAACATTGTTTTAACACTGAGCAATATTTTTTTTCTCGTGTTAAATTGATCTGATAATTCTTAAAGTATTTTTTGCGCTTTCAAATCTTCCAAATTTATAGAGAAATTTATAGAGAATAGAATTTTTTTGAGTAATATGTATTTAAAATTATGTATTTTAATTAATTTATTAGTAGTAATATGCAAAGAAATTATTTATAAATTTAAAAAATTAATTAAAAATTTTAATAATATTAAATTTTAATAATTTTTAATAAAATTATTTAAATGTACTAATTAGAGATCCCAATATATCAAACTGAACTTTCGAACAAAATATACTAGTTTGTTTTTTTCTTTTTACATTTATAAGAAATGGAATTTTTGAAACAAATTCTGGCCAAAAAATACATAAAAACAAGTCACAATTATTCATTTAAAAATAATTGTTTTATTCATTTTTCATTATTAATTTTAAATATGTTATACTTTCGAGAGATTGGCTTAATTTATACATAATAGTTTATATGGAGCGCTATCAGCACTTTGACAACAATAGGATCAAGGAAGCGTTAGAATCGCGCTATTCCAGATGTAACTCGAATCTCGATCGCGAATCCAGTCATCGATCCCGGTCTTATCCTCGGGACAATGGAAAATTAGGGATGCTCAGTGACCCTTACCATTTCACGGCACGTAAAAGCACAAAAGTCGTCGGAGCGTCGGATAAAATATGGTTCCTTGCAGGTGCATGTAACCCGGTTACCCCCGCGCTATTCTCCCCCTTCACCCCTCTCTCTGTTCTTCGCGGGGGCATATTGTTTGAGATGTGACACTAACGCCATCCGTGTAATTATGCCGATACGGTTCGAGCATTATATTTCGTAGGAGGGCGAAAGGGTGGGAGGGTATGAAGAATAGAACCCCCGCTCGCTTGGACTACCTAAACACCCTTTGGTCACGCATGGAGAGGGTGCCCCCGCATCGTAATACGCGATATACCGAAGTTCCGACAACACTTTGTCTGGGATACGTCGCGAAAGTGCAGCGTACACTGACATCGGAATTCTTTTCATGGGATGTATGGTGAGTTTGATTGTCAACCCTCAATGAAACGTGAGTAATATGGTGAATATTCGGCGTTGAAGAACTAATATAAATTTTTTTTGCAACATTATACAATATTAGAAATTCAAAAGTCAGTGTAATATTTACACTATGTGTATATCTATGTGTGTGTAACGTAAATAATTTTGAAAATGTATTTTATATGCATATTTATTGTATTTCATTGACATTGTTATTATAAGTATAATATATATTAAATTATACTTATATTAATATTAAATTATACTTGAGTATTTCATATTCAGTTAATTTTTCTTTCTCAATGTACATTTACTGTATTTAATATAATATTCATTTTAATATATCTTGATGTATTAAAAAAGAGAAACGTGAAAAGAAATAATTTTTAATAAATAAGAAAATTATGTGCAAAACACATTTTGTTTTACAGATGTAACATTAGACTTATGTGTTGACAAAAACTGAATAAAAAGTAATATCAACATTAGTAATTCTGTTACGTTCTCTCTTTTTCATTGTAGTTTAATAAAAAAATAAATTTTTAATCATGCTCTGTATATATCTAATATATGAATATTAAGAATAAAATAAGTTAACTATATGCTTTAAATATATTAGATTAGAATAGGATAAAAGATAATAGCTGAAATAAATAAAGTAAAAAATAAGTATAAAATCAAAATATTTAAAATTTGAATAGAATTCATATCTATTTCTGGAGAAACAAGCTAAGATCAAAAGTATCCTATTATAAATCAAGAATATTAAACTCTCTTTACATTGATTAATATCTAAACATATTTTGCTCTCTTTCTTATACACAGAGCGATTATATAATGAGAATTATCCTGCAATTCTTTCGCATTTGCTTGAAAAATTCGAATCGGTATACGATATGTAATATAAACTCGTTGAATCGCGACAAAAAGAGTCTTCTGCGCGACTTTTCCGAGACTCGTAGGAATCCAAACTCGACACCCCCGCGATGACAGTCTGCGGAATGAATTCTAATAACGTGTCCTCTCTATAGCCTAGCGCGCACGGATCCATCTTTTGCTAACGAGGGTGGAAGTTCACGGTTGCGTCCCAGGAATGCGTGATGACTACTTTGTTAGGAATGCAGCGCGGCGCGGCGCCCATACGAGAGCGAAACGAGAGCGGTGTATGCAGTGGCGGAGGATACTCAAAGGCATCGAGTGCAAGCTGAGTTTTCGAGATCTCCTGTTCAAGGCGCTCCGACAGAAATTCTAGATCGAGGAAGAGAGAAAGAGAGAGAGAAATTAATTATATTAAATATTATTTTCAACGGCAACAGATGATAAGACATTCGATTTGAAATACAATAACACATATCTAAATTGCAGAAATATAAAATATGGAAATACGATTAAAGTAATCATATAATAAAATTAACGAATAAATCGAACAACAGCTGTGCATATAAATAAAACAAAAATCGTAACTAATAATTCAACACGGATAATAATTATTTATTAGGATTTTTTAAAATAAAAAATATCAAACAACCATCATTCTAACTTCGGTCTCGCGTACCTCGGCGATAATCCGCCACTGGTTATACGGGAAACGTAGCTGAAACGCGGCTTCAGGACGCGAAGCAGAGCTGAAAGCAGCTGCGCGCCTCCCTGGAATGCGTCCCTGTTACCCGGGATGTTGCAGAGGGAAAGAGAGAGAGACCAAGGAGAGCTTATACGTTCCTTCCGATCCCGCTACTCTTTGGCATTCGGGCTTTGGCATCGCACAGTTCAATAAAGGAACGCCCCCGCTCTCGCTCGCGCCCCGGCCGAATTCACTCGTAGTACCACGAATGAGGATCGGAGGTTCCATATCTGTGAACAATAATGTAAAATAAAAAAAATGTAACGCATCGTTCCACGGAAAATCGCATCGTCCAAATTCTTGAAGATAGTATTGTCATACAAATATAAATTCTATTCTGCGAAGCACTTTCTCTACCCGCAGGCCAATAAACTAATAAATATATAGATGATAATTTTTTTAACTAGATATCAATTATTGCCATTATTATCGATTTATTATTGCTTTACTGTCTGATTTTTACTGGTTATTATCACTTTAATTTCAGATAATAAATAATTTTAAATAATTGATTTGCAATAATGTACTTTTC